CCAGCCTTACACCAAGGTGATATTATATGTACAACCGAATATGGAGCTTAAGGTGCAAGTAACAGAGGCGAGTAATGTTAAACGGCGTGTGTTGCTAGGCGGCTTCAATTTCACTATTGAACGGCGACCTTGAGATCGTTAAGTGTAGCTTTTATTACCGAGAGCGATGCCCGTACAGCGCAACTTAGAGCAGAAAACATCTGTCAAATGTACACCGGCTATTGTGACATCTATATGATATAACATTAAGCTATATTATCGCATGCATGCATATGATACCCGTACCGGTAGTTTTTTTTTAATCTATTTTCGTCTTTCGTAAATTTGATTCGCAGATCCAAAATGTTGTAATCTGTTTTCCTGTTACGAAAGAAAGGCCTAACAGAAGTAGAATATATGAAGAGTGTGTTAAATATGTTTTATTTTCTCACAGTAATTGTATCAGCGACCCTGGCTTCGGGCGTGAGCGAAGCTTTAAGCAGTTTAAAGTACGTTTACCCGCTGAAATATGTTAGTATTAACAAGTTATGTGTCTAAGTTTCATAGAAAAAATTACATTTTAAACCTAATACAAGGTCAGATAATCAGATAATTGGCAGTCTATCTTCAATACACTAATCGTCTATATGAGTGAATTATAAACAAACAGACACATGTAAGCTGTTAATTCGTTTATATATAATAGTTATTTCAGACTTAATATCTATATATTTTTAACCGCACATCAATGTTAATATCCTTTCACTGAACCGTTTCCTATCTAACCATTACGTATTGTTTTAATGATTTATTACTTTTATTACGATATTTGCATTAAAATATCATTAAAAATATATTTTAAAGAACTGCTGTAGTATGCGCGTACGCTCTACCTAGGCTTTAGTTTGTCTGTCAAGCATATAATAATAAATTATTAATATAAATATTATGTATAATTTAATAAACGAATTAAAATTTTCTAGAATATTGTATCCAGTTTCTCCTAGCCGCTATTAATGGACCCTAATGAGCATGTTAGCATTTTTAGCCATAAAGTAAAGCAGGGCAAAAGCTTTCTCTTCTAAAAACAGGATTTAGGTACAAACACCCGGCATAAATTATACAGCATTTTAGATAAAACTAACTCTAGTCTCGTTTCTAAACTGTATGATGAATATTAAAAAAATAAATGTGTAGAATAAGGAGACGGTAATTTAAAACTATGTTCGTAAATGTTGACAATAACTAAGCTGAGGTAAGGCGAGGCTCGAGGCTGGCGACGTGCAGTCTAGCGATGTATATTGTAGTATGATTGACTTCAACTAATAAGAATACATTCACACCTCACTGCAATCCCACTGTTGCTATGCCGACAATACGCCGAGGTGACAAAGGATTTTTATAATGGCGACATTACATAAATAACCGTTATGGAGGTTCCGATAAAAAGGTTGTATATGTACATGATTTGGTAATATTTTTCAGGTGAGAATCAAGCTTAGATGTTGAGAATTTATGAAAAAAATTATTCGTAACTATTTCGCAGAGTATTGTATATTTTTATATTACAGAATTAGAATTAGTTAAAACTATAGAGATTAATTATATAAATACAATATAAAAAAAAACAGCGAAAAATACGTAATAATCTACAGTATTACGTAATAGAATATAATTTCGTTAATGAACTGTGAGTATAATTCATATGAAGACTAACTTAAAGTATGACAGTCGTTTAATATTTAATTAACGCCCGAGTCCATATCTGTGTGGATGGAGGCCAATGTTAAACAATACGTTAGCAAATGTATGAACGCTGGGACCCTACGAACAATTACCACTTTATAGTGTTAACGTGGGCAATAAACAGCTGATTACAATATTAATATATCTCATTAGTTGATTACGTATGAAATTTAATATACACGGGAGACTGAAGACTTATATGACGCGTTTGGAATACTCGAAAATCTTAAAGAATAACTAAATCTAGCAAAGATTTACTTTCCGTAAATACCAGAAATTTATAGAATGTAGAAAAAATATTACTTCAGATAATTTAATGTACCACAATTCGTATATAATATGAAATGGTCCACATGGAAAAGTGAAAACAAAGAAATGGTAGAAAATGTTTTGTTACAAGACACACATTATACTGAAAGCAAAACAAATCAATCTTCAACACACAGACACCACATATAATGTTGTATTTTATTACAACAGACACATTCAGGTCTTAATATGTAGTGACCAATGAGTGTCTAGTAAGGTCTTGACAAATGACTTGACTACACAATTCCTACTAGTTATATTAAAAAATATGCTTTAGTAATCATCTACAGGCGATGTACTCAAAATAAATTAAAATAGCTGAATACTCCTTATTTATAATAAGGATCAATAAATTCACAATCACATAGATAATGATAATTTGTCATATATTGTTAATTTAGCAATAACTCGATTGGTGGGGTTGAATGACCTCAGCTGATAATGGCCAGTGCATTTGTTGCTCCATATCTAACCAGAACTACAGACATCATTACAACACTAATTTGTATACAATAATAAAATTATTTGTTTTATATACAAGTGATATTCAACTACCTATTAGTAATCCATCAACAGATTTAGAAACTTCAAACATTTATGTTAAATATGTATGGACTAAGTTAGAATTATGATTAATTCAAAATCAATGCTGAGACAGAGCTTTTAATATATGTATCATAAAGACAATACTTTTGATAATAAATTTAACATTATTTAATCTTAGAACTTGTGATATGTTATTTTAATAATGTTTTGGTATAGAGTTCTTCTTCTACCTGGCAATTTCCCAGCTTTAGCCAGGGTCTGCCTTACATGTTGTGAATAGTTTTGGCTAATTGTTTTTACGACCGGTCGCCTGACTGACATCAACCCTTTTTGGGAATCAGAATTAATCAGTGATGTCTAAATACTCTTGGAAGTTGGGAAGTACATATGACTCGGAAAAATCACATTGGTATTTGCCAGCGCCAGGATCGAACCCGCGCCGTCGTGCATGAGGCGGGCCTTTTAACCACTAAGCCACCACTGATTTATAGAGAGTTACTTACATAAAATTACAAATAGATATTTGGGAAATGCTTCCAGATATAATAATTTTCTAAAAATATATGAATAAATTGATACTCTTATTATAGAAGTTCTATAATAAAAGTGATATTTCTTCTATTATTATACTATAAATAGATTAATTTTACCTTCAATAAGGAATAGGTCAGTAATATATGAATAGAATTGATGATTCAACGATTTCAATAACAGAGGAATCTTTTGAACATATGAAAATTTCATACCCCGGTTTAAAAGAAGAAGAAGATTAAAATGTACTTTAAAATGAGATGATTTTCTACTGTGGACTGATTATGATAAGTGTTCTAGTATACATATAAGTAATTATAATTAAGATACTTGTATGGAATATCAAGAAAATAGTGCTAAATTCAGTAGATTCAAAACATATTTATAAGTACAAAAATTTCCTTTAAAATACTAATATCCATTAATATAACAGTAATAACTGTGTAGGATAGATGATAGGACTTTATACCATAAATACATATTTTTTTGTATGGATTATTATTTATTACTGTTAGAAAAGGGAATTGTTACTATTATTGGAATCTTATTGAGAATGAACATTTAAGCATCAATTGAAACATTGAACCTGTACTAAATATAACCAATTAAAAATAAAATATAAATTGGGTTTTAATTTTGTAGCAAGTGACAAAGCAGAATCGCTGCCAACACAACATTTTCATATATTCACATAATGCTTTCTTGTTAATACCCAGAGATTCATATATGGATCTGAATTATACTTGTGTTTCTTGATAAAGTTAATATTTAAGGGGAAAAACAGTTATATATGATTTCTAATAAACAGTACTATAGCTAACCATATAATATCGTCTACATATGTATTGTTGAAAAAACGCTTGGCATTTCAATACAAAATCATATTAATTGAATCACAAGATATATTATGTACTCATTTTTATACAACTATAAATATTGAGGATGGTTTAAGACTATGTCTGAATTTTAATATAAAATGTATAGTAATCTATAACTAAGAGAAAATTTATATCTATCAATAGACAAATGAGATCTCGAGACTTATTTCTTTTAATTAAAAGGTGTACTTAACAAGTAAGTGTTCTCTGTATAGTTAGAACTATATAAGCTGCTAAATTAATCAATAAATATGATATTTGTGTAATAAATGGGTAAAGAGCTTTCATAAAGTATAGCATAGATATAAATTATATGATATATTAAGATTGATTGTAATAAAAATGTGTTGAAAATGGTATGTGACTGTTGTACTCATTATTTAAGTTGGTAGCTAATGATTGTGATCATTTTTAAAATCAGATATATATTTGATTTTCATGTAATTATTCTTAAGAATGATGAAACAGAGAGTGAGTAGTTTTCCATCAAATCTCTTGCTAACTCTACCAAATATTGATGACTATCAAAGCCTGAGGTGTACACAGACCACTCATCTGTGCCTATTTAGGTTTCTACATCAGATAACATCTAATTATACACACTTGTAGATATAGGTTATGTGTTGCTATGCAAGATATCAACCTACATGTACAGCTAGCTTCACATATAAACTGTTGACTTTTTAAGAGGTACAGTCTACTTTACAGATAATAACTTCAATTTCTTGTACAATGTACCCAAATTATATCTCAGATAGTTTTACTTGTATGTTTACCTCTGAGTATAATAGCTGAGTTTTCTCTAACCTACGACGTGAGGGACATTTAAAATGCTAAACCTTAAATATACTAACGCAACTTACGTGTTCTTTCGATGTGAATAAGACATTTTTTTAAACACCATGAATGATGGGTTTCCAAAATGATAGACTAGGAAACGCTACACCAGAGCTGCAGCAGTGAGCTCCACAGCTAAATGAACCATTTCACAAATCACTCACAAAAGGATACATGCTAAGTCTAAATTAAAGCCGTCCTTCACGTATCGTTTTCGGCGTTTGCTCACGATGCCCTTGATAGGGTTGGTCATTTTGATATTGGAGATAGAGTTTGCCATGGCTTGCAGGTCGACACGCCGCGGAAGCAACTCTGCCACCGCGCCCTTAGCGGGCCCGCCCGCGACGGGCACCCAGTGCTTCTCGGGTGCCTTTCGCTCGCGGCGCCGGCAACTCACGCAAACACCCATAAAACCTCCGGCGCTCGCATGGGGCCGGCGGAGCGCGAGCGGACGCCGCGGCCGCCCGATCACCTCGCGCCCGCCATGCCTCTCCGCCCTGCCTGCTCAGCCGAAGCTGCCGTACACCCTCCGTACTCTCTGCACTCTCCACACACTCCACACTCCGAGGCCACCCGACCGGACCAGTCACACATATAGCATACTCCACGCCCGCCACTGATGCACGCACTGTCGCTACGTGAGCGAAGCCACAATTTATCTCGCACGAATGGCGTCCATCCTGCGTTCGCACTAGATCCTAGAGGCTAGAACACGACCGACGAGAAACAGTTGCACAAGAAAGAAAGATGGTTATGAATTGATGGCCGAGAGTGTAAACTCCGTCTTACTCACACTTAAAATGCACAGCCCCGACGGACAGAGATAAAACACAACCTTAATTTCTAGTAGTGGCTAGCTAGCTCTCTTTGTTTTTGTAATATCAATTTTATACGTAAGATGTCGCGACGATCGCAGAATTTAGCGCCTCTTTTTAAATTTGTAATGAAAAAGTAGAAACCATTCGTAAATGGTGAATTATAAATAATAAATTTGTTCTTATTGATAATATTGGTGTGATATCACACAATTTTTTTTAAAAAACTAAATATTTTAATCTAATTCTTAAATAAAAAGAATTATTAATTTGGTAAGTTGTGTTATCGTAAGGATAGATGGCGTTACTTTCAATCACAAATGGTGTTATGGCTGCGATCAAAATAGATAATATTAAATATAAAACTTTATGACTCGAATTAATCAAATGACATAAAAATATTTTAAAATATGGTTATCATTATGTATTAAGGTTTCCTTTTATATGTCTACGGGGGACTTATTAATTTAACTCTGATAAGATATTTACAATTTTCCTTATATCGTAATAAGGTTATAATGTTCTTTTGTATGCTTTCGTAGAAGGTAAATTATTGTAAACCATGATTTAATTATGTATAACTAAAACTTTGAACTAAGTTAAAAGACCCCTAGAAACTTTTTAGATACCCTAATGTTAAGTATTAATTTTGTTCATTAAAAACACTTGTTTAAAAATAATACCCTTGTTTTAAACTTTAAGCCGTATGTATTAACACAGTCTTGTATTATTTACCTTGGTTTGACATTTCGTCTAGACTGCACTGACCGTGGTCATAGGCTAACTGCGAGTAATAATTAATTCAAACATATTATAATAGATACCTCATCCCCGCGTTATAATATATTATTTTTGGTTATAATCATTTATGTAAAATGTGTAATTCTTTATCTAATATTTTTGGAATAACTTTAATAATAAAATATCTTTTTGACGGATTGATAAGAAAATTAATGTATGTAGAACAACATGCTTAATGAAGCGCGTTGAATACGACTATACAATTAAATCAAAAAGACAATGAATTCGTCCGGATTAATTATCTCATAAATCATTTGTGAATTATTCATAGACAGATAGATCTCTACACAGAAATAAATAAACATGATTTTTCATAAAATTAATTTACGAAAGAAGGCAACTTGTTGACCAAACCAAAGATAGGCAAATTAAATCCGAAATAATTATTTCTTTGAAACGAAACGGAACCTACTCTTGAAAATTTTACAAATTATAGAACTAGGATAACGTGTGATAGAATTGTTTTTAGTTTTTTATTTCCTTTTAAAACTAATGATATCGCAACTAGAGAATGATTGAATTGTGGATTAGTGAAAAGCTTGATTTTGATGTTTTTAATCATTTTTACAAAATTTATTCTTGATATACATCTGATATGAATATACATTTTTTTTAAATTCTTCATATGCTTTTTGATACAAACGATTTCTTGTTAATAAAATTTTAATATGAGACTTTTTATCAATTTGCTAAACTAACTCATATAGATAAATATAATTCAGTCTGTTTTCGAGCTTGAGTATTTTCGAAAAAATACAAACTGTCACAATAATTATTTATATCATAATTTTATAATGTATTCTCGGGTTACTTATCATAATCATTATAAGAAAGTTTTTGAGACATTCTTAAATATCGATAAAACTTTGTTTTTTTTTATAATCTAAATAAATCAACATTATTTTTCAACAAGTTTAGATACATAATACTAAATGGTAAAAATAACTACAGTTTATGGGCAGAAACCCGTGAACGAAAATAGGTGCTTTTTTTAACGGGTAATCATTGTAGTAGCTTTGTATTTTGAGTACCTTCTCTTTTAAAACTGATTTAAATCATAATAATCTTTAATAGCATTACCATGTTTAACATCGTAATGCAAATTGTCCGAATGGAATACAATTTTATAATACTACTTATCTGTATTCGAACAAGTAATTGGTTTCTTTTGTGTACGATAAGGCTAGGTATATGTTAATGGCCGTTGTATGTACCTTACCCAAATAGATAGAAATCATTATGGAAATCATATTTCATAGTCGGCTGCTCCTTCACACCATTTGCGCAACCAATTAATTCAATTAGAAATTTACATAACAGTGCCTTTATCAGATATGTTGTATCTGTGCGTACAATAAATTGTATCTTTTGAAACAGATAAAAAATAGCGAAACACGCAGTCCCTGTCCCGCCAAGCGTGAGTTATGTTCAGATAATTAAGTTATAGTACGATTAACATGTGAAATCTTCGCAAAAAATATTATATATAATAAAAAATACAATTGTGTATGATAACCATCGTTTTTTTTAGATTTCGATATTAAATTTAGTTAACAAGATTGAGATTTTATCGTAAAACTTAATGTGTTATATTTTCGAGTAATAAAATAGCCGAGCTGTTGCTATGTGAACGGAACTATTATCAATATTTCGATAATAGATAACGGCTCTAGCAGACACAGATAAGATAAACTGACGGCTGCGGCCTGTGGGGTGGCTTTTGTATCTGTGCTGTATTTCACTACAACACGTACCTACCTACCTACCTACATGAATTGTTAATAATAGGACAGATAAAAAAAATAAATTATTTTAAAACACACAAAAAAATATAATATTGTGCTTTGATCTCTCCGGGAAAAAGAAGTGACATTTCGTAATTGGAGTGATAACAGTTAAGAGTTATAATTTGTTTTTTTTATGAATTTGTAGTGTTTCTTTAAGACAAACTTTATTTACATTACTTACAACTCACAATTAATTGCCTGTCCTCTCACTCTGTGTTTTTATCCCCCAAGGAGTGTTAAACGTTTAACGCAACCTCGTTGGACGTTGAATGAGAAGTTTCCCTTTAGCTTTAAATTAATACACATATACTAATTCTTTCCTATTTCGTATTTTTGCCACATTATATAGCTACATTATAAAAGGAATAATAAATAAAAATACATAAGTTTATATGCTTTTAATTAAAATCTTAGTTTAGTTTCGTGCATAGTCAGTATCTTATCAACTTCCTGGGCCCGTTCCTTCAATGTCGTCATTTCTTCTTCACTCAGCACTGTATTCTGTTTGCCAGCGTTCTTTATTAAGAAGTGTTGTATGAACAATCTCAAACTCTCTCTAAACATGTGTAGTTTTGGTGGTTTGGCTATCCTATAGAATACTTCCAATGATGCTTGCAAATTATCATTCATTATTATAGCTAGAAGTATCTGTCTCATGAAGCAGACCGTCTTCTTGTTTAAATCTGAGAATTGGATGATCTGTAAAAAAATATTATTATTAATTCAGTAATAATTTATAACAAACTAGCTACGTCCCGCGGTGTTGCCCGCGGATTTCCGGGATGTAAAGTAGCGTATGGATGTAAAGGATGTATTCGTGGACGTCAGCTTCCTGTATACAAAATTTTATCAAAATCGGTTCAGCCGTTTGAGCATGAAGAAGTAACAAACATATAGACACTCACAAACTTTCGCAATTATAATATTAGTAGGATTAGAGAGAGGAGCTTGGACAGGGGAGGTGAGCGTTTAACGCGTTAGATAGGGGTCACAAGTCCCAGTCACTGTTGAAGCTCCTCTCACTACAACGATGGACCCGACACTCGCACCGTGAATACATTGAATGCTAACAGGTTTCCTCTCATAATAATAACATTATATGTATTGACATTTATATATAATATAATTATGTATATAATCCCTTATATGATGTATTTTTAAGTGTACCTTGAGTATAGATAGCGGCAGTGCTTTGGATATAAACAGATGAATGAGAAACTGTGCCAAGTTGGTCATTGACTGCTTGGATAAAGATTCAATCTCCTTTATTTTATCCCACACAGAATACTGTATTGATAGCTGTGAACAATATATACAATAATAGGATTAATTTATATAGTAATAAGATTCATTTTAACTTATTATAAACATGGTTAGAAAAGAATTTGAATCATGTTTTAGATAGAGATTTAACTTGGCATTAACCTTAAGTAAATCCATAGTTTTCACTTTATTTTCTTCTAACATATGAATATTTATCTCATTTAATAATAAATAATTACTTAAGATCAGATTTTTGAGTAATTATTTACATATATTTCACATTTAATGTACATTTAAAATGATATTTTTAATTTATTACTACACATAATTTACTTAAATTATTTTTCTAATATAAATTTACTAGTAGTGATCTAGTGTGCAGTTTTATACCTGATATTTCCTATCTACGCTGCACAATTTATCAGCCAACACACTGTAGTATGGGTTATATGTTTTCTCATGGAGACAGCATGACAATAATACATGAGGAACTTCACGCTGCTGCTGACCCTTCAACGATAGCTGCTCTAACTTGGCAAAAGCATCCATATAGTCCTAAAGAAAAATATAATATTAATTCAGAAAGAAAAATTAACTCTTATATAAAACCTAACTTTAATATAGTTATGTAAAAAATCTTATTTTTGTTTATGGCAACACAATGATATGAACATTTTGTTTAAAACCCTGACTTATTATTTTTGCTGCAAGTATAAACAAGCAAAAGTATTGAACTATTTTAAAATAATGTGGATTTTAGATTTATTTTAATATTTCAGTACATTCCATGGTATTTCAAAATGTAACTTCTTTTTATTCAATTCTTCTAAATATCTTTTTATTTCTTGAAGGTTTTTCATATTCCGCACTTACTGAACCGTTGTACGCCTAAACGTGGCGTCATATTTATATCGAAATTCAAACAGTTCTATTCTCCTTTTAAACAGATTTTAATTCTGTATTACTTATAACAATAATTGTGAATACCAATAAATTTTTGTACTACTTAATGACAGCCATAAGTAATTGTTTTAAATTATGATTATACTAAATTGTATGTTTGATACTCCTTGCTATTAAATATTAATGGTCTTGCTATATTTGTTGTCATTATTATTATTTCTAATTTAAAGTATAATACTTCATGTGAAATCTGTGGAAACTTTGGCAAATTGTTTTTACTGTACCGAAATAATTTATTACACGTAGCTGTAAGCTGTATTTTGCCCACAAAAAAAAAAATAAATAAAAAGAAAATAACCTATTTAAAAGTATCGATAACAAAATTATCTTCGTTATTCTCACCTCAGCAGACATAATAACACAGAAGATGCTCCTTCTAACGTCAGTATTCATTCTCTGTTTCCTAGCTAGCTCCATCAATCTCTGGTCGGCGTGTGTGTGTGTTTGTTTGTCCGTGTGTTTGTTATCTGTAACTTCAGCCTGTCCCTCCCACGCCGATCCCACCACCCACCACTTGCCGCGTTCTTGAGCTAAAACAAACAAACATACAGACTGAATATACATAACATAAGATATCGTCGCGAATAGTGCAAATCCAAGTTACTAGCATTGGATAATTCCGCGTATCTACATTGGAAGCAGATTATAAGAAGAAAGTTTGAGCTGAAAAAAATTAAACACTAAATAATTACTAATTGTTAAAAAATTACCTTAAAAGTCGTTAATTTAGAAAATATTTCAGCTTAAATTTCTACTAATACCGACGATATTGTGCATATGCATGTGTGTGGTTGAAGTACATTGTTTTTGCTATTAGCAGTAGATTAACTTGAACTCTTATTGTAAGTAAATTTATATACTAGTTATTAGCTAGTAGTATAGCTGACTACAAAATACAGTTACTAACACGACATTCCTCTATATATGTATAAAGATATATACATGTAAATTAATCAACTATTAATGGGGACTTTTATCTTTAAATATACTTTGTTGACAAATGTGTTAAATCCAATGCATTATTCAATAGTTTCATATAATAATGTATGTCACCTTTCAATAGATCCTCCAGTCGTATATTTAATGGTGTTATATAATTCCCTTTCCTCACTATACTCCGAGTCATCTTCTTCAAGTGTTCCACATAGCTCGGATCATAGTTGGGTATTTTGTTTAAATTATTATTCTTAATAGCCAGCAGTACTTCTAGCAGAAACTTTATACGGGACCTGAAAAAAGAGTAATTTCAATACAATATTATATGAAAAATCATTATTATTTACATAATAATAATAATAATTTATTTCAGACCATATTACATAGATTCATATAGTGTTAGTACGTTACGAATTAAACTTAATAGATGAATTGGTTAGTAAATTTACAAAAGCATAAATATTAAGATTATATAAAATAAATTTTCTTCCCTCTATATAAAATATAGGATGTTGATAATACACGACATGTGTGCGTGTGTGTATATTACTGTGTGTGTGTATCTGTATATTATTGTGTGTGTGTGTGTGTTTGTGTGTGTGTGTGTGTTTGTGTATGTGTGTATCAATACGGGTACCCGTCGGTGACGTCACTCCCCATCTTGGTGCTCCTCGCCTGTGTGTCATGTATGAAGGTCTTGAGGTCGAGCGGCGCGTCCTTCCTCAGAGCTGCGCCGGCGCACCTTACGCACACCAACAACACGTCTATACACTTCTCAGACAACGTGTGCGTCAGACGTGACAGAATATCGAACAGTAACGTGGAATGATACAGCTGTGGAAATTAATATGGACAGTTATAAATATTATCTAGATTAATATTCTTTTTTATTATTACTAGCTGCGCCCAGCGGTGTTACCCGCGGATTTCCGGGATGTAAAGTAGCCTATGTGTTAATCTTGGACGTCATCTTCCTGTATACAAAATTTTATCACAAAACAAACATACACACACACTCACAAACTTTCGCCATTATAATATTAGTAGGATAATAATATTCTTTTTAATGTTTTATATATATTTTTTCGCCATTAGTTAATTATTATATTGTTGGTAACGCCATCTAGTGTCAGTTACCTTGAAACAATACAAATGTGCCAAGCAGGCAACTAGATTGTCCAATGTCTTGTCCTCAACGGGTTGTGATGTGTTCATCATTGAGTCAAACCTCTTACACAACTCTTCCAAGAAATGTGCTCCTGAAATTAAAGTTTTTTAACCATTTATAAATGAGTCTGCAAAAAGTGATGTAAGATTATGGGTTTTAGCAGCTTTCTTAAGGAAGAAGGATGCATAATGCAATTTCTTAATATCATTTATCAGTAATTTTGGTCTAAGAGTTAATCTTTTATAAGTCCACTATCAAATCTTAAATTATAAATTATTAAAAATAACTATTATTGGTTTAATCAACTAGCAAATAATAAGTATATAAATAAAATAAATGTGAAGAGAGTAAAAGATTCATACAACATGTATGTAATTTTATACAAATGAAGGCAAAACATTGGCTATCCTATGAGTCAAAATAATTCTTATACCAAGGTACACCTACCATTACTCACCAATTTCTGATCCAATATTAGCATGTAAGACAGATATCATTGCCGCATGCTCGGCAAGCATTCTCTCCGGGGTCATTGACCTCCCAATAACTCCCTCCATATATAGAGATGTTAGTACTGTATTCATCGAGTGTCTACTATTACTGGTGTATAGATTCTCTATACTGGTGCAAGCCCAGTGAAGATTCGTACCAGCCAATTTATTGAGAACGCCTTGAATATAAAAATCATTGTGAGTTAGTGATATATGATCAATATTATTTAGACTATTGGCTTATAAATAGTAGCTGATAATAGTTTTAATATACTCAAGAAAATGGTTATAAAACATTTAGGAAATTGATAAATGCTACATATAGCTCATGAAACATGTAGTTAAAAATTACATCTAAATTGGCTATATGTTCTAATAAAAAATTTAGGCTTTTATATTATGTACCAGTTAGTTATCTTGTTATTTTATATAAAATCTTACTTTTAACTTGGCGTTTCAGTTGAGCCATCTCTTTCTCAGAAGTCGAATCCTTGTTTCTCAAATGTGGTGGGATATAAACGCCTTTTTCCTCCTGAAACACAAATCTTTGAAACAATCTGCCTTATAATTTACATATATAATTTATTAATGCTATCCACCTTAATAATATTCCCATCTTTATCTCTTTTCCTTCCATAAATATCTTCCCATACATCCGGCTTTTCTTTATCTATTTTTGGATTTTCTTCAATTTCACTTAAATCATCATCATCTGATAAATGTGATACTTCATCATCACTAAATATTTTACTCAAATCCTCTTCAGCGACCACCTTTTCCTTTGTCTTATTCTTATTGCTTGGTATTTTATTATTCGACTTTTTTTGTTGTGGTTCTTCATCATCATCATCTTCATCATTGTCAGATTCTCCATTATCATCAGATTCTCCAACATCATTAAAATCAGTTCCATCTTCACTTATTTCATCATTTTCATCCATTTCATCATCTTCATCGATTTCATCATCTTCATCAATTTCATCATCTTCATCCATTTCATCATCTTCATCAATATCATCATCATCATTTTTATCTTCTGCTATATCTTTCTCCTTTTTCTGTTTTCGTTGCGTCTCTTTTCCTGTAACTGCAGCCAAATCATCTTCAAAGTCGGAATCTCTTTCAACATCAGCCAAATGTTTTTCCGCTGCAACAATTTGTTCTGACGTCGTTCTATCACACACTTCTAATAAATCTAGAGTTTTGTTAAGAAATATGTATATCTAATATTGTCTTTAAACTAAATAAATAAATAAATAATAATGAATATTATTTCATATTTGTATAAATAGTATATGTAAAATATGATATACAATTCGAAGTATTGCAGTTTTACCAACCATATGATTATTTTATAAATATTTAATATATTTACATCCTAAAAAATTGTCTTACATATTTTGAATTAAAAGGCTACTAACTAGATGTTCAAATAATTTTGAATGTAGTAATTTTTTTTGCAAATTTGTTTACCACTGTTAAATATGTTATCTTTTGCTCTGCCACTTCTTGCATTTCATGTGTGCTATGCAAATTTTCTAAAACCATCAATTGCTATTCCAAATATGAATATTTCTAAGTCTTTAAATATGAAATGTGATTTAAACATTTGATAGATGTTTATGGCAGTCATATATAATATAAGAGGCTATTTAAAAAATATATATATCGGCGCAGTTACCATTTTAATAATCAATAATTGAGGGTAGATAAATTGTGAGGTATCGCTCACGTGACAACCTGTGCAAGTGAAGTCATAACAATGGCTGTTAGTCATTATAAATAGAGGCGAGTTACTGATTACAGATAGTCGTGCTGGAGCCGTCGCGGGGATCGAACCTCTTGGAAGTGAAACACCGTCCCACCGGCTGTGAGGGCTGTGAGGTTACCTTCGATAGCCTCAAGGGCTGACGACATTCGAAAACAAACCGCGCTGGTGACGTCAGTTATGCTGACGTCACTCATTTTAAAAACCACGTTTTGGCATCTTCTCCGACATCAGAAGTGGGATCGTTCACTTCTGCTCGTCCATCTGATAATAATGGAATTTTTCTTTTATGTTTCAGAGCCCCTGTGGACCACGGACAAAAAGTCCTAGACCACAGCATCGACCTACCTCAATCCCTTAGAGCCTCTGTGGACCACGGCGTACAAGACCGCCCAGACCACAGCAACATCCTAAAAATTAAAATTCTTTGTGGAACCATCAGAAGTCAAGTGTACACCACAGATCTGGAGTGTTACCTCTGAGCTAATCACGTGTTACCCTCAAGCTAACCTCGTGTCCATGATGTATCCATATGAGAACCATGAGATTCTGTAGGGATGCCTTGTGAAGCCGTGAGGAGACATGTATGCACCAAAGAGTGATACCTCTGAGCTAATTACGTGCTATCCTTGAGCTAACCACAGGTCCTTGATGTATCCGTAAGAGAATCATGAGATAACGAGGGGACGCCTTGTGGAACCGTGAGGAGACATGTATACACCGTAGATCTGGAGAGTGTTACATCCTTGAACTAATCATGTGCTACCCTTGAGCTAGCTCATAACGATCAGTTTTTGTTTTTATTTCATTCTCAGGTGACCAGGGAATCTTAACCAAGAATGGAGGATGGTGCAGAGCGCGCACCAACTGTCAGAATGGCCGTGTCGGCGCAGTTACCATTTTAATAATCAATAATTGAGGGTAGATAAATTGTGAGGTGTCGCTCACGTGACAACCTGTGCAAGTGAAGTCATAACAATGGCTGTTAGTCATTATAAATAGAGGCGAGTTACTGATTACAGATAGTCGTGCTGGAGCCGTCGCGGGGATCGAACCTCTTGGAAGTGAGACACCGTCCCACCGGCTGTGAGGGCTGTGAGGTTACCTTCGATAGCCTCAAGAGCAGACGACATTCGAAAACAAACCGCGCTGGTGACGTCAGTTATGCTGACGTCACTCATTTTAAAAACCACGTTTTGGCATCTTCTCCGACATATATATTACCGAATGCCACAGTTTGAATTAAACTTTAATGTCATGTAGAATATATATATGATAATATTTAATTCATATATTATTTCCATGTTAAGTTATTTAGTTAAAAGGATACAATCAAGGCCGTCGTCAGCAAAAAAGTTATTTTTATTGCGAGTCTTGTTCAATCCGAGCTGTTTCTCTAGCTTCTTGATAATCTTATCCTCTGCATCGTTCGCTTCTAACAACATCTTCTTTCTCTGTTCAGTCATCATCGATTTTAATTTATCGGCAGCTCTTTTCTCTTTTTCTTGCTCTAATTTTAATAATTCTTGAACTGTAGGCGGGTTTTTCGGTTTCTTAGTTTTCTGAAAGCGTTAATGTAACGGTATTTTGTCAAGAAGCGTAGTTAAGCTCAGAAAAGAGAATATATTGCCTTCGGCAAGTTAATACGTATCTCAAATTAAAAATAAGCAATTACAATTTACCTTGACAACATTGTCAGATTGAGTTGTTTCGGGTCTTATTTTTACAAACTTTCCCGGTGAGTTGGCCCGTTGGAGCTCAGTAGAATCGATATTCTTTTTAAGATAATGTTCTTTTCGTTTTACTTTCTTTTCTTGTCTTTTTTGTTTTCGAAGAACTTTACGTGTGTTAATAAATTTTGGCTTATTATTTGGTTTCTTCATCGTAGTCCGATTAATAAGGGAGATATAATTTTGATATATTATCACAGTTTGTGTGTTTTTCTAATTTCTTTTAGGTTATATGTTGACAATTTTATTTCAATCATAACAATGTGTGATAGTCGATTGTAATATCAATTGTGTCATAATGACAAGTGACAACTTTAATGTTTTGGTGTCGTTTCTTTTCAAGCAAACGTTATCCAGATTTTTATAAGCAACTAGTTTTTGCCCGCGACTTCGTCCGCGTTAGTTTCGTCATTAGTAATATATGTATAGCTGACCAGGCGAATTCTATTCCGTCTTAGAGGCCATAAATAATCAGGTTTTTTCCTGTTTCAATCAAACAGAATGATTGACATATTAGTTAGTTGTCAAATCTAATGTCAAAAAAAAAGCGTTTGTATGGGAAATAGAAAAGGGCTGTTTTTAGGGTTTTCCCGGCAATTATTCCAATTTTTCTCACCTTTTATACCTTCCCTGGACCTCCACGAACATTTCAAGACTAAGATAAGACAAATCCGTTCAGCTGTTCTCGAGTTTTAGCGAGACTAAGGAACAGCAATCCATTTTTATATATATAGCAGATTAATGTTTTAACTAAATAAGATTACTTATTTCCAAAAAAATAATAATTACGAAATTTAAACTTTAAATATAGTAAATTACAATTACACAGAGAGTGGTACTGTACTTAAAGTTGTTAACATTTAAAAAAATGAAATAAGAAATCTTTATGATATTATGATATTATAACGTTTAAAAATTAATTATACAAGGAAATTGAATAAATAAAGTGAGAGAGTTTGTGTGTGTGTGTGTGTGTGTGTGTGGGTGCGCGTCCAAGTTGGTGTATGTCTCTTAATTTATCCAAAGCAGGCTTACCATTGCTATATTTTTATTTTTTATTTCACTATTTTTATAAAGTGTTCGGAGTCGTCGTAAAACTAATTTATTAAAAAGTTGTGGTTTTTATTTTTACTTCTCTGACAGGTTTCTGAGGTCGCAAATCTTATTAATTTTATTGTAAATATTGGGGAAGAGAAAAGGAGAAAACTTGGAGCCTTATATCTGTGGTTTGGTTTGTATTATTTCAAAACTTCATATTCGGGAAATATTGTATGTTTAACCATACTACACATTTATAAATTATACAAATTAATGATTTATCAACATTTGAAAAGAACACAATTAAACTTTTAATTACGATTAAATTTTATTGCTAGCAACATATATAAGTGACAATAAGAATGGTTATTTGTAATTGACAATTGTCTTCATGCCTTCAGCCTTGTCTTTGACAGAGAATTTTTCGGAGCTGATGAGAAACAATATGAAAATTGAAATTATTTTATCTTGTTAGATTTAAAAAAAAAATCTTTATCGTTCGTATTAGTGAGAAGAATTATTTACTTTCTAATTATCAAAAAAATATTGGAGGCATGATGGTGGAAGGTTCAGCATTTACGCGGAACGATGTGTTCCAAATGGCAATTCGTGTTGCTTTTGTGTCTGCAGTTACTTATTTCTCTATAAAATGGCTCGTCAATCAGATAGATCCGACATCTAAGAGTCGAAAGAAAGCTGAAGAAAGAGCGCGGGAACAGTTACGCAAGTAAGTATCGATTTTCAATACAACAGTATTAACAACTATGAATACATAACAGGACCTAGCAGGTGTTTCTATACTGTCATTGCTTTAGTAAATCTATTTAAGAACACAGCATAAGTCTTAGTTTGAACATATAATCACTTGCATCAATTTAATTTTCATAATAAAAATAACAATATCATATTACAATATACACCTAAATTATATGTATATAATTTCGAAAATCATACCCATAATATATGATAGTTTAATTTATTCTATATTAGAATATCTTGCAGAGCCGGATTGGTTGGTAAACAAGCCTTAGCTCTGGACAAGCTCACCGATCATGAAATGATTATCGCCTCACAGCTTGTGGTTCCTGAAGAGATTAATGTGAGTATCTCGGAAAAAGATTCTTATTCAGATACTTGACAATATTTTGATACTGAGTAACTATTATGCAATATTTAATATCCATATTCAAAACAAGTTAATGCTAAATATAAAATTGAAATGATATACTTATACAGATTTTAAGATCAAGTTGAAAAGTTATACCTATACTAGCTTTTGAAGCGACTTCGTCCGCGTGGAATAGTGACTTCCGGCAGATTTTTGGGTCTTCCCACATAGTTCCCGTTCTTGCGGAGTTTTCGGAATTGTCGAGTTCCCGTAGAATTTTCAGGATAAAACCTTGGCTATTTTTTAATTCACAATAAAGTACACTTAACCAACAACATATATCTTTGTTTATTTGAATAAAGATTAATATTTTTATGTTGATTTAACTTAAACAAATTATTTCGACCAAATTAGGTACCATAAAAACGGTTTTTGTGAGTTAATTTTAAAAGATAGACATATACTGTTGCGGACGTTTTTTAGATCATTAAAAGAGCTATTATTCTTTAGTACATATTTTTTGTGTATCTTTAACCGTTTTCACGGCGCACGCAACGGAAGGATGAAATAATTTCTCCCGTTTTTTACACATTTACCACTATATCTTTGCTCCTATTGGTCGTAGCGTGATGTTATATAGCCCACAGCCTTCCTCGATAATTGGACTATCCAACACAAAAAGAATTATTCAATTCGAACCAGTAGTTTCGGAGATTAGCGCTTTCAAACAAACAAACAAACAAACAAACAAATAAACAAACAAACAAACTCTTCAGCTTTATAATATTAGTATAGATTTTGATGAAACATAATACTATTTAAATTATTTTTATTTTCAGGTGAATTGGAAGGATATAGCTGGTCTAGATCACCTTATCAATGAACTCCGCGAGACTGTTATCCTGCCGATACAGAAACGGGAATTATTTGCAGACAGCCGTCTCACACAGCCACCTAAAGGAGTACTACTGCATGGGCCGCCTGGTGAGTAAAGTTCGACATTATATACTAGTTTATACCATTGACTTTGCATGCATGGATTTATTAATGTGTACTTAAACAAAATAGTTAATAGTAGAAAGGTCTATGTGGCCTAGAGTGTAAAGGATTGCCCGTCTTGCATGAGGGCGCGGGTTCGAAACCTGGCAAGTACCAATGTGATTTTTCCGAGTCATATGTACTTTCTAAAAGTATTTAGACACCACTGACAGATGGTGAAGGATAACACCTTGAGGTAACCTGGACTTATAGTTTCACAATTATAAGTTTGAAATCACCAACCCGTCTTGAGCAGGCGTGGTGATTAATGCTCAAACCTTCTCCATGTGAGAAGAGGCCTTTTCTCAGGAGTGAGCTATAATAGGCAGATGATGATAATCATCTAATAATCGGGATAAGCAACTTTCATGACATGTTAATTATAGAAGCAGCATAATAATTGACTAAATAATAATGTTTTATTTCCTATGACACAGGAAAGTTTGATCAAAATCCATCCATTATGCTTACATAGAAGATCAATAAACATCATAAGCTTTTGAATTTATTATATTGTTAGGATATTTTTGCTGCGCTAACAGGGAATAGCGGATACAGCAATTCTTTTAGATAAATTGTTCGAGTTCTAAAAAAATTATATGGCATAAAGAAAATGTTTACAAGAAATCTAAATATTGACTGCATTAAGTCTTATTTGTATAAAACTGAATTATTTCAGTATAAAATGTACAAGTCTTTGAATCCTTGTCCTACTGTCATATTTTTTTAGATGTCATATAATTTAAAATGTTAATATTAATCACAGATATTTGAAGTTTTTATATGTACATAGCCATTTAAGTATTTAATATATTTGGAAATTGGCAATATACAGGGGGATCAGTATTATCATTTTTGTATTTTGTCAGAGATTTCACTTATAACTAAGTGTGTGGGACAAGAAATGTATTTTTGTAACAAACAAATGTATATGAAACTTTTTTAAATAATATAGTTTAAACTGAAATTTTATAATCTTGCTGCATCATAAAGCCTGCATTCATTACTAATTTCATTACTTATTTTATCTAACTAAAACCGATAAAATTAAATTGTATTCCGACATTGTTAACTCTATTTTCACTAACTTCGCAAATAATTTTCTGTTATATAATCTTATTATATAATCTATACTAATATTATAAAGCTGAAGAGTTTGTTTGTTTGTTTGAAAGCGCTAATCTCCGAAACTACTGGTTCGAATGGTTGAATAATTATTTTTGTGTTGGATAGTCCAGTTATCGAGGAAGGCTGTGGGCTATATAACATTACGCTACAACCAATAGGAGCAAAGATATAGTGCTAAATGTGTAAAAAACGGGAGAAATTATTTCATCTTTGAAGCCTTCCGTTGCGTGCGCCGTGAAAACGGTTCAAGATACATAAAAAATATGTATTAAAGAATAATAGCTCTTTTAATGATCTAAAAAACAGTCCGCGACAGTATATGTCTATCTTTTAAGATTAACTCACAAAAACCGTTTTTATGGTACCTAATTTGGTCGAAATAATTTTATAAAATCTTTATTCAAATAAACAAATAAATATGTTGTTGGTTAAGAGTACTTCATTGTGAATTAAAAAAAAACATAGGTTTTATCCTGAAAACTCTACGGGAACTCGACCATTCCGAAAACCCCGCAAGAACGGGAACTATGTGGGAACCAAAAATCTGCCGGAAGTCACTACTCCACGCGGACGGAGTCGCGGCAAAAGCTAGTACATACATAAAGTATATGAAAATCTAATGTAACTGAAACTTAAACCAACTTTTACAATAGGTTATTAAAAGGGGGAGGTAAATTTCCGCTTTACGAAATAGATGCGATAAAAACGAAATTTGAAAATTATATACTTTCGCATCTTTTTACGTTACGTGCTTTCGAACAGACGCGCTAACTATTATTATCTCAAATAATGTTTTGAAAATGACATTGTAACCAGTAAAATTCAAATTTAATTTACATTAGTATCAGAATTCTGTCCGAGAAATATGAAACTAATTGACAATTAAGAAGGATAAAATTTTTATTTGTATACATTTTGTGGAGTAAATTGGTAGATAATGAGATCTAAGATTTTCACGAGTACTCATTTTAATGAAACTAATATTTTCAGATTTTTATTTCGCGTTTTTATTTTTGATTATGAACTACATACTCCCGACGTTTCGGCTACTTTTCAACAACCTTGATCACGGTTGCTGAAAATTAACTAAAAATCCGAAAATATTAGTTTCATTTAAATTAGTAGATTTGAAGTCCTCTGTTCAGCGTCAATCTGAAATGTATGTACCTACTAATTTATAAATAGCGATATGTACAATAATAGTATAAATGCATATTTCCAGGTTGCGGTAAAACTCTGATAGCCAAAGCTACAGCCAAGGAAGCCAACATGAGCTTCATAAACTTAGATGTGTCTCTGTTGACTGATAAGTGGTACGGAGAAACACAGAAATTGGCTGCCGCTGTGTTCAGTCTAGCTGTTAAACTACAACCTTGTATAGTATTCATTGGTAAGATTGATTTTTATCCCTACTAATATTTTAAATGCGAAAGTAACTCTGTATGTCTGTCTATTACGCTTTCACGCTTAAACCACTGAACTGATTTTAATTAAATTCGGTACAGAGGTAGTGTTGACCTTGAGAAAGAATATAGAATAGTTTTCATCCCAGACTATTGAAAGGTTTTCTTGGAAAGGCGATATAACCGAACTCCACGCGGGCGAAGCTGCGAGCGGAAAGCTAATTAATAATATGCCATAAATTACTGTATTATTGAGTGAAGAATCATTATGCTGCTAATATAACTAACTTAGATTATGTGGTATTAAAAATTACTATATTTAATTAGTAATATATGTATTGTGTTAAGTAGTGAGACTGAATGACAGAAACTAATATAATGTAATGATCTACCTACATTTAACAACTGACTAAGTATGACTAATATATACCAGCTGACCTGACATACGTTGTTTTGTCATATAAAACAATAGAAGTTGGTCATAAAAAAGGAAAAATTTTAGGTTTTATTATTTTTTAATGCTACATTATAAAAAAATAAAAACAAAAAAGTTAATGGTGTTCAAACCTTATGACTTAGAAGTATGAAAAATAGATGTTGGCTGATTCTCACACCTCAATATGCTGACAAAATTTCATCAAAATCGGTCCAGCTGTTTCGGAGGAGTTCTCTGTCTAACATCACGACACGAGAATTTTATATATAAGATGATATAATAATGTAGTTATCTGAGAACATTTTGTTTTGTTTATTTCCAAAGAGGGTTGATGTCAGGCAGACCCTGGCTATAGCTGGGAAATTACTAGGTAGAAGAAGATTTTATATGATTCAGCTGATATTTAAGTTATATATATGAATATATTCCAGATGAGATCGAGTCTTTCCTTCGTACTCGCACGGCTCATGACCACGAGGCTACTGCTATGATGAAGACCCAGTTCATGTCGCTGTGGGACGGACTGATCACTGACAACACGTGTAACGTTATTATTATGGGTATGTATGTATGTATGTACATATTATGTCAGAAACTTCATAACAATCTATATATATAAAAGTTGTGTTAGTGTATTTCTAACCCAAGAACGGCTGTTGGGATATGATTGAAAATTGGTGGAGAGATAGTTCAGAACAAGGAGACGGACATAGGATATTTAATTCTGTTCGATCGAAATAGAAAAAAACGAATAAACTACAGTATCTAGTTACTTACTACCTCTAGAATATTTTTCGCCCGGTTAGCTTTATATACAGGGTGACTGGTGAATTACTATCAATATTTTAGGAGAATACTCGGTACATGATTCTCATTCGAATTATGTAAAAAAAATAGGTACTTAATTTTTGACCAAATTTCCCTATAAATAAATAAAGCGTGGACACGTTCCAAGTGTTCCAAATGTGGACGCGTGCGGCGGCGTGCTGAAACAACACTACGCCGCCGCACGCGTATGTGTGTGTGTATACCTAATCTGTAGGGTGTTCACACGATGCGTAATTAATTACATAACTTTTGGTTAACTTTACTTAGAAGTTTATTAATATTTATGTTATATTAATTTTTATTTCGTCATATATGATCGTCAAATATCACGTCTTCAAGTATCGATAGTAATTCACCAGTCACCCTGTATATGTATATATGTCACCAAATTCGTATAGACAGTTTAGAAAAGTTACAAAACAAGTTATACAATTATATAAAAAGCCAGTTCCCTCAATGTAATATTAACTTAAAAAATACTCTCCAAAGTCGACGTGATTTTCGTGACCAAATATTATTATTTAAGACTAGCTTTTGCAACGGCTTCGTCCGCGTCGAATAGTTACTTCCGGCAGATTTTTGGTTCTTCCCACATAGTTCTCGTTCTTGCGGGGTTTTCGGAATGGTTGAGTTCCCGTAGAATTTTCAGGATAAAACCTATGTTTTTTTTAATTCACAATGAAGTACTCCTAACCAACAACATATTTGTTTATTTGAATAAAGATTAATATTATTATGTTGATACAACTTAAACAAATTATTTCGACCAAATTAGGTACCATAAAAACGGTTTTTGTGAGTTAATCTTAAAAGATAGACATATACTGTAAAGGACTGTTTTTTTAGTAATTAAAAGAGCTATTATTCTTTAATACATATTTTTTGTGTATCTTGAACCGTTTTCACGGCGCACGCAACGGAAGGCTTAAAAGATGAAATAATTTCTCCCGTTTTTTACACATTTACCGCTATATCTTTGCTCCTATTGGTCGTAGCGTATATACAGGGTGACTGGTGAATTACTATCAATATTTAAGGAGAATACTCGGTACATGATTCTCATTCGAATTATGTAAAAAAAATAGGTACTTAATTTTTGACCAAATTTCCGTATAAATAAATAAAGTGTGTACACGTTCCAAGTGTTCCAAGTGTGAACGCGTGCGGCGGCGTGCTGATACAACAACACGCCGCCGCGCGCGTATGTGTGTGTGTACCTAATACCTAATCTGTAGGGTGTTCATACGATGCGTAATTAATTACACAACTTTTGGTTAACTTTACTTAGAAGTTTATTAATATTTATGTTATATTAATTTTTATTTTGTCATATATGATCGTCAAATATCACGTCCTCAAATATCGATAGTAATTCACCAGTCACCCTGTATATAGCCCACAGCCTTCCTCGATGACTGGACTATCCAACACAAAAAGAATTATTAAATTCGAACCAGTAGTTTCGAAGATTAGCGCTTTCAAACAAACAAACAAAAAAATCTTCAGCTTTATAATATTAGTATAGATATTAAACAATAAAATTGACACAATTTACCTTACAAGCAAAATTAATATCAACTGCCCTCGAAAAATAGCTACCCGAAGAATTGCTCCATTATTTTATATTCTTACAGTTAAAACATATTACGCTCAAAACTCATTTATCAATAGAGTTTGTGTAAAATATATTGAAGGTTTTAGTCATATTGAAATGTTTAATGTTTCCCTACAGTTGTTTAAAATGTTGTTTGAAATCCAAAAATAAATTTTCCTAGTTTATAACTTAATATGTATTCCTTTTCCGTAAGTAAGATAACAATGTGACGTTTGTTGATATTTAAAACTATTGTATTTGTTTGTTTTTTTATTTGTGGCAGCTTCATTGGTGTATGTTTTTGTAATTTTATTTATAATTTAAGTATATTGTGAACTTTTTGTGTCTAAATAAAGCAAAATAAAAATAATAAATAATATTATTTCAGGAGCCACCAATCGTCCCCAGGATTTAGACAAGGCTATCCAGCGTCGTATGCCGGCCACCTTCCACGTGCCCATGCCGAGCGTGCAGCAGAGGGAACGGATACTACAACTGATACTCAAGTCAGAACCCACGGCTGACGATGTATGAACAACTATTACTAAGATAACTGATATTATAACTCGGCTAATACACAAACATATCATCGGTGATAGTGCAAATCATAAACACTGTAATTTTTTCACATTTAGTGTTTAATTGTGAAAAAAATACCTTAAAAGTCGTTAATTTAGATAATTATATTTCAACTCACACTTTCTTCTGATAATCTGCTTACACGGATATACTGTTACATAGATTTGCACTATCCCCGACGATAAATTAAGACTTAAATGACAAAGAGGCTGTTAATATTAAAATAGACCAGTAATAATATGTATTATATAATTATGGATATGTCAAAAGACATTTAGACCACAATCTCTCTCTCTCTCTTTCTCTCTTTATCTGTATATATAAAAATGAATTGCTGTTCTTTAGTCTCATTTAAACTCGAGAACGGCTGAACGGATTTATCTTATTTTAGTCTTGAAATGTTCGTGGAGATTCAGGGAAGGTTTAAAAGATGAAAAAAATTGATTAATTTCCGGGAAAACCTTAAAAATAGCCTTTTTCTATTTCCCATACAAACGTTTTCTTTGACATTAGATTTGACAACTAACTAATATGTTAATCATTCTGTTCGATTGAAACAGAAAAAACCTAACTATTTGTGGCCTCTAAGACGGTAGGTATAGAGTTCGCCCGGTTCTATACATATGTTACTAATGACGGAACTAACGCGGACGAAGTCGCGGCTAAAACTAGTATAAATATATATATAAAGAGATTTAGGTCTACCGTCTATATATCTTTCAACATATCCATAATTACATAATACATATCAAACTACCCTCAGATCGACTACGCTCGTCTCGCTTCAAGTACCGACGGGTTCTCAGGGTCTGATCTTCACGAGCTGTGTCGACAGGCAGCTGTTTACAGAGTTAGAGATCTGGCGAGGGAGGAGTTACAGAGAGAACAGGTACAGAAACTGATATTAATATGTATACAGGGTGACTGGTGAGTTACTATCAATATTTAAGGACGTGGTAGTTGACGATCATATATGACAAAATAAAAATTAACATAACATAAATATTAATAAACTTCTGAGTAAAGTTAACCAAAAGTTATGTAATTAATTACGGATCGCGTGGATACCCTAGCTGCGTTATCGACACAAAACAGTTATGTACGTAGGTATATGTAGTTATCGCGCGGTAGTTTACCTACATCCAAACGCCGCGCGCCGCCTCGTGTTAGACCTTAGATAAACAAAAATGATCCAATTCCCTTCATACTTTAAACCTGGCTTAGGACAGGCAAAAATACCAAGATATTTCTTTCGTTTAAGCAACCAATTTATTGACTAGGTAAATGGTGTGACCTTGACACGAAAAATAATATGAACTGTTTACCTATCTTGGTATTTCCGGCGTATTTAAAAATGGAATCATTCTTATTTACAACAATTGTCAATCATTAAACTACCTATTTACCTACATAACTACACTAACTTTAACAAATGTTCAAAGCGAGCTCCTTCTCGTGTGATACACAGTTCGGCACGTTTACACATATTGTCTTTCACACGATTTAATACGAATGGGTCACTTTTAATAGTTTCGAAAGCACTATTGATTTTTAATTTCAACTCCTCTCTGTTGACATACATTGTAGCATACACAAGACGTTTCCTTGGGCATGTGTTGGAACACGGAACTGTCCGAAGTCTCGTAATCTTTGATTAGCGTTTAAGATGACGCTGGCCGTAGGTACTCGACGATTGGGGAACATCTCCCGGTACAAAATGATTGCGCCCGGCAAGCTTTCATTTGCACGCGCATACGCATGAACCATGTCCAAGTATTCTGCATTTGTGTATTGAAAAGCCATATTTAATTACTAATAAGTAATAACGGGTCACACGCACACACGACAGATTATTATTAGGTATACGCGTAAGATCGATCGCTAGGCGCACGCGCGGGAAGACGAACGTACGGACCTTACGGCGGCGCTCGCGCGACTAATAGCCGGCTAATGGCCCGCTAGCCACGGGGCGGGGGTTGGGGAGTAGCGACACACTGGCGCCGGCAAGGCTGAGTACGTGTCCAAACTTTATTTATTTATACGGAAATTTGGTCAAAAATTAAGTACCTATTTTTTTTACATAATTCGAATGAGAATCATGTACCGAGTATGCTCCTTAAATATTGATAGTAATTCACCAGTCACCCTGTATACAGGAAAAAACATTAATTGTCACAGTGTATATTGCTATCTATACTCCAGCCACATTAGATCTGGAATTTTAGTAAACAAACCATGAGTCATCATAATTAGGGTTGATACACTCTTAATAAAAAAATAATTATTATTATATTCATTATAACACAATTTCCTGTTTTAACACAAAAATTTTAATTCAATATACTTAGAATCCAAAAATTTTATTTAGCCGGTCAATTCATAATTTATATGAAAATTAGCTTAAAATAAAGTTAAATTTTTTTTAATTACCTCAATAATATTACTACAAAACTAACAACTCTATATTTTAATACTGACGTAAAGAAATCGCAGGTAACATTTGGAGTGTTTTTTAAGCTATTAATTAAGCCATTCAAATATACACAAAATTAAAACTAAATAAGTCCTGTCGTTTGGGAGGCGATAGATAAAGTTAATAAAGCGAATTAAACAACTGCTTCCGATATTATTTTAAAATTGGAGGTATTATTTTTGAGATCTACATTATTCCAGATGATCATAGGTTGTATTATAATTACAACTAAGAATACGCTTAGTCCTTTGTCTTAAATATTTTATTATTAATCATCAATTTTAATTTTCATTAACATCAAAAATAATTGTTGTACATATTTCTAAAAATGTTTTGAGCATCTGCCTGACGTTGGTTGCTAAGCAACGCTTTGTTATTAAACATTCCACATCGAATTTGGCTGGAGTATAGTTTGTGCTGGCGACCTATTTCGGAAATAGATTTACAAAAAAATATAATTATACTTAATAGATTTGTTTACATATTGACAGCGCCATCTGTAGTGTATAGATTGACTTCATACAAAATGCAACTTTTAAATAAATTTGTTTAGGACATTTTTTTATATTTTTTTAACAAATTTGAAATTATAATCTAAAACGTTAATCTGGACTCTAAGGTACATAAAGATTCATCAACAAATATCCACACAAACTGACACATTTATTATACATATAAGTGATTTAAATATTAATACTATTATTATATTGACATATGTTATATTTCAATGAAACTAATATTTCTCGGATATGCTACGCGACTTATTGCAAACATTTCGTCTGCCCGTGATCACGGTTGCTGTAAAGTAGCCGAAACGTCGGGAGTATGTAGTTTCTAATCAAAAATAAAATCGCGTAGTACATCCGAAAAATATTAGTTTCATTTAATGAATAAGACTCGATAAATTCTTATTATATATATTTTCAGTCAAAAACCAACACTACAAATTCTGATTCCGATGAAGAGTATTGTGATGCTGTTCGACCCATCACTATGGAAGATTTAAGGATGTCGCTGAGCAAGCTCAAAGAATCCAAGATACAGTGTGGGTCACTGGCTCCTGGGATGAGAATTGAACTCGATTAAAACTATATTCAATATACTCAAAGTTTTAACAGTTAACTTTAACTGTTCGGTTAAACCTACTCAATCTGGTCATACTGACTTTGACCATTGATTCATATTTAAATTTGGTTTTTGTTGATATATTTTGTGTTTTTTATTTTGCTATTTATGATAATAACAAAAAATTGTTATTCAATAAAATCTGTTATACTAAATGATATAAAAATATTAAATATTAGTGGTACTTACACTTTTTGTTTTGAATTTATTTTTTAATGGTCTGTAAGGCCTTGTAGATTTGTCATTTTTCTATATTAAAATTGAATGCTTCATCAAGAAATTGCTTACAGTAAATCCTAATTATATATCGAAATTTATTCCAAAAGTAATATAAATACAATTTCTAAGATATTTTTGATGTTTTAATTATTGAAATATATATTTACCACATTGATTGAACAATCATTTGAATTATTGTAGCAACAAAAATATGTATTGAATCGACAAAGGTATTTTTCTATAATGAACTTCAAATTTCTCATTTCATATACCATATATATTATATTTATGGTATCCCGTTATACTTATTGTTCTTTGTATAGCATTACAGAGTTTATGTTTACAAATGTTGAAAATTTCTGTATATATTTGTCAATAATAATTTGTTAATTGTTATGTGAGTGGAGTTAAATTATTCTTCATAGATAAATCATTTATCAAAATTCTATTTACAATTTTTAAATATGCATGACTTTGTAGTACTAATTGTTAGTTTTAGGTTGGCTGTGTTTCAAATCTTTCCCATTATAATTGGTACTGACCGATTAATGAAATCTTAAAGCTATTGTTTCTGTTTTCTGACATCATTAGTATTGGAAAGTATTTTAATTTCAAAGACCAATTATAGCCGGAAAGATGCTTAGTTATATCTCAAGCTTCCAAAGAAGCGATGTTTTAAAAGTTATTATTGTATGTTACAGTATGAAGTGTCTGTCTGTGTGTGCAATGCATATACAATATGCGATGCTTCTTCCAAAGCCTAGGTTGTGCACTGCAATAAATTACTTTTTTTAATTAAAGCGTGTCTATCATTTGAATGTGGGTAGTTTGATAATTACTTATAACTATCAATGAACTACTGTACTGCTTTTAAATTTAACATTGTTGTGTAATGTTAAAGGTTCAAACATCCAATAAATTGTTAAAAAATATATCACAATTACAGGTTTTCAAAATATTTTAAAAAAAGCTTATAAAATCCACGCTGTAGTATATTAGATATTCATATGTAAATAGAGGGAATAAATAATTTAAAAGTTTAAGTGTTTTTTATTTATTTCAATATATGTATTTCCTTTTACATTCTCCCAACATTCTGAATTTGTTTGTAGGAAGCTTCTTTCTTCAACTATAGGACCAATTCTAAACTTATATGTATTTATTTCGCTTAACATTAAATAAACATCCATTCCTGTAAATAATAGAATAATTAGTAAAGTTAAAAAAAAACTAATTATGTTTTGTTATATTAAAACCTTTTTTCTTTTCGAGGGTCGCGTGTCGTGTCTCGGTTTCCTGTGGTTCCTCTTTTTCTTTTGGTTCGGTTTTGGTTTCGTCTTCTTATATTTAGGTTTTGCGGTTACCTTTCGTAATAAATTCAAGATTCTATTGAGATCTGTGAAATAAACCAATTTTGTTTTTTTGGTATCTGTGTTAATAAATCAATATTCTACATACATTTACAATTACTGTAGACAGTTTTTGTCGTTGGTTACAAGCAAACCCAAATTTGATCTTTTTCATGTGATGTACATACATTCACTTCTTTTGTAACAAAATCTAAAATCTTTTTCCAATACGTCATGAAAATATCGTTAAAAATTTAATCTTTAGTTAGTGGCGTTTCCTTATAGATTTCGCCAATGTCGTGTTCAAATTTAATCAATACGATTAACATAAAATTGTAATGTTTTGTTTAAACTGTTTGTTATCTGTCAGGCAGTTAGTTAGTTGCTGTTAATGGTGTTTTATAATTCAAGATAAACAATAAAGAGTTAGCGTCACACAATCTAATCTTTTCTATTATTATAGTGCAATCAAAGACAATATTCATTAAAGTGTTATATTGGGGCTGTCAATGTATAAATTTTATTCGCGAATTGTCACAAGCGGCGTATTTACACCATTTTGATTGTGCAATAATTGTAGATGTAATAAAATTAGTCAGATAATTACTAAGTAATTCTACATGTAAGTAAGAAATGAGTGAAGATATTTTACCTTCACTTATATCGTTTGAAGCGGTAGCAAACTTCACTGGACGAGCATCGGTATCGATGGAATTCTCGCTAATAGAAATATCAGAACAGGCGCCAAAAGTTTCTTGGTTCCCACATCCCAGCCCTGAGGTTCCGTTCCCACAGAAACCCCAGTTATTTCCAGCTACGTATCTCCACTGAAGTACACAGTGGTCGCAAACTAATCCTTTAGGAAGACGATACTTCACATTATACACACCACCTTTTGGTGGATAAAAATTTATGCCACCCGTCGCTAGTTCCACTGGGTATTTGTCGAAGCAGGATTGCCTGTTACTCTTCGGATTTGGGCATATTTTAAAATACCAGTAGCCTCTATGATAGGCCGTTATTTCAACTGTGACTGTAAATATTTGCTCTGGCTCGAAATTTGATACAATAATCCCTTGGCCGTATTTGCCACCGAGTTCATGGCTTTTTGGGGGCTTCATATCGTAAGCGTCACCGCAAATTCCGCACCTGGAAAGAGTACAAAGATTTTTTTATTTTTGTAATATAATATAAATTAAATTAGTGAAATATTTTCGTCTCACTTTCCCTTATTTATGGCATACTGTCTATAGAAGCCACCGCAGTTAAGTCCGTCGTCATCATAGTTGTGAGGGGTTGGGAACCCACTCCGCCACATGGAGGCGCGTGATGGGGGTTGAAGGACGCGGCCATGACCCACAACAGATACGACCATCAAGGAAAAAATAAATAAAATATTAAGCATCTGAAACAAATAGTTAGTTTTCTATATATGTATCAGATTTTCGAAGTCTAAGTTAAAAGCCCACCTCTCGTGCATGAGGGCACGGGCTCGAAACCTGGCAAGTACCAAAGTGATTTTTCCGAGTCATATGTACTTTCTTAGAATATTTAAACACCACTGACAGACGGTGAAGGAAAACATCGTGAAGAAACCTTAGGAGTTATAATTTCATATTATAAGTTTGAAATCTCCAACCCGACTTGAGCGAGCGTGGTGATTAATGCTCAAACCTTCTCCATGTGAGAAGAGACCTTTGCTCAGCAGTGGGCTCTGATAGGCTGATGATGATATCAGATTTTAAGCTCGGGATTTTTATAATGTAATTAATTAATCTTGTCAATTTTGAATAATTGCTCCAATAATAAAAAAAATGAGAAACGTCAGTCATTGCCCTGAATTTGGGGAGTACTGAATATGTTTTTTATACGCAAAAACAGAAAATTACGTGATTGAACTCTGTACATGATACTCGTGGCTGGACGTCGCGAAATCGTGAGTGTCTTTAGAATCGAGCGCAAAATAAACTTGCAGTATTCAAATTAATGTCTTAATAAAAATGTATCGTGACACAGGCTGTGTAAAATTTAAATTTTGCGAAATTTCGATCATTATCAGACACCACTCTATGAAAATAACCAAATTTTATTATTGTTACTTTAAATTTTATCCGCATTATCGGTGACTAAAATTAAATTACGTCTTTTATATACTTGAATGAAATGGATTCTTTTTTGTTTATCACGACTAGCTTCAAGTCGCTTTTTCCGTTACTTCAACAATAGCTATATAGTTGCATGTTTAATAATAATAAGTAATATTGGAGAGTCAGTCAGTAGTGTGTTCTCAGTCCGTGACCAGGTCGACGTCCGCGAAGTAAAGCGGTTACAACCAATAACCATTGATTTACTAAACCTCCGTTCATCATTATCGAAACCTGAAATATCTGTCTGGACACGATTCATTCAAGTGATTTTAAAAAGAAAGCATCTCTCGCTGTCCTTAAAATGATCTTCGATTAGTCTTTATTTCTTAGTATATTAAATATTTTTTTTGTTGAGGAATCGTTTTTTGTAGTAATTAAATAATTTACCCGCCAAATTTTAAATGGCTGTCAGTTAAAAGGAAGTAAGTTAATTGATTTTTATTATCTGTTTCTTTATTACTTTCTTTTCGTCTTTCCTGTCTCAATTAATTTACTGTTGTTTTGTGATACTTTACAAAAATACAATTAAAAGGTAATGATACCTATTTTAAGACTTGCATGTGCATAGAATATATAAAGCGGACGATACAATACATTTGCATAGTTCTAGAGTTTAATTACTTGCCAAAATACAAAACATTTTGAATAAAATACATAATTCATAGCGAATTAAACTATTATGGTAATAAAGCACGTGCGGTACTGATCGGCGAGGAAAGTAAGTTTAAACGATGAATAATTAATGACAATCACTAAATATACAGACATGTTGCCTGTCGGTGAAAATTTAGTCATTTAATGATGTAATTCTGTGGGTATAATCTCTTAGTGAAAGCCTTAGCTATCTCTGTAACTATTTACGAGAATGACACACCCATTTTACCTAAAACTATATAGCTATGAGTAATTTTATATCATTATTCATTATCATGTATCAAAGAAATATTGTTACTATCTAGAATAAATAAAAATGTGTATATATAAAAGTAACGGAGAAATTTTAACACTCGAGAGCCATAAAGATAAGGAGTTGAAAACGATTTGTCAGTGTGAACAAACTTTTATCTTATACGTGAAGTTTAACGGACGTTTAATAATAATTGATATGAAAAATATACTAAGAATTAGATAAACAATTAGGGTAAAAACTTGAGAGGTAGAGATCCAGGTTAGAAATATTTTGACATGATTGTTATTTTTATGTATAGTGTTATTTTATGATAACATCTCCGTGTCAGAAGCGTTTTATCAGTTGTGTGTTGTCCTATTTAATTGTACGCACGCTATGTCTGTCACAACAACAGACAGAGATAATTAAGTGGTACATATAAAAAGTGAGTTATTTTATCACATGAATACTATCTAATTTCCCTTTAGTATTTAAAAATAGTTACTGAGTTCATTTTTTCTCACTTTATGTTTTTTTTTATTTCTTAAATTTTAACAAAAAGGTTTTAGTGAGCAAACTTTTAAAGGCACACACTGTATCAAAATATTGAAACTACGCTCATTGACCAATAATAATAATAATGGTGTTATAATGGTGATATTTATAAAATTTTGTTAAAATAATTTCTTAATATAATCTATTTAAAAATACAAAACTTTTAAACTTTGTTCCGGTATAGAAATATTTTAATTAAACATAGTAATAAATTAAAAAACACGTCATTAAAAAAAATATTTTTCAGTCGTCTCTCAATAACTTTGTCAATAAATTAATAATTATAGAAACTAAACAACAAACACTTACAATGCCCTTTTTTATCTTCACATATTCATCTTCAATAATTTATTAAAATTAACTTTTATTTTAAAAAAATCACAACTTTTTTCACATTTCACGAAAACATCGTTCAAAAACTTTACACATATACATCTTTAAAAAACGATATTCACCAAAAAAAAAAAACCAAAATTAAAAATATTTTTCTCTTGTTTTTTAGTTTTATTCAATTTATTTGTGATATATAAATATATTATTTAATATCTCTGTTCTAGCGGGTATATCAATGACGACCGTCTGTTGTGTACAGCGCGAAGTAATGATTTTTTTCTCAGCCTTTCTAATTCGATCAATCTAAAATACATCGCTTTCTCCTAAAATCGATCTGGAAGCCTGCGTGCCTCAAATATTATTAATTATTTTATAATTACTTCCATTTATTTAAGGAACTAAATGTTACGTTAACAACCAAAAATTTTTTCCATTTTGTGTTCGGTTTTGTACTATTCTTTAAATATCATTATTGTAAGTTTTGAAAAACATAAATATTATACGAGTTTTTTTGAAATATTATTGTGAAATAAATAAATATGAATAAATCAAAGTTAATTTTAGAGTTTTGTTTGACCGATGGTACCCCAACAACACCGTGTAAACATCTTAATTCTGTTGGTCATAGCTATTACAGTTACCACTCGTTACAGCGGCGCCATTTTATAACAACCGCAATTTATAACAAGTAATCTAACAATTTACTATATCAACTGTTTATTGAACTTAAGTTAGAAACAACATCTCTACGTATTTTCCATTCAAACGTTTAATTTTCTAATTAATTTTTCAGTTGCTTTATCTCAATACGTTAAAATTGTATGGTGTTACTTGAAGTATTATATTTCAAACGTTTCTCGTTTAAAACAAAGATAGGAAATGTTAAAAAAATGACTTATATGTATAATAATATTGAATGTTATCGCGGATTAATGATAATTCATTGCAAAAGCGTTTTCAATCTCTTTCCGCTGTTGTAAACGGATAAGGTTTGAGAGAAATCAAAGACAGCGGTTTTATAAAACTGTTTATTGCTAATAATAAATAAATAAACTTTTAACGAGTACTGGGAAAAAAATTATATTGACAGATATCGAAATTGAGTTACGACTCGTCTGCGAAAATTTTGTTTTAGATTCCAAATACTTTTCAAGTAAAGATGTGTTTCCGTTAGTTTAATTCTATAGGTGTACCGTCTGGTATGATGTGTGTTTTGGGTTTAATTCTGATGTCGGTGCAGGCTCCAAAATGTTCTTGGTTTCCGCAACCTATAGCTCCCGAGCCGTCTCTGCAAGTTCCCCAACTGTTACCAGCTCTGTACCACCACTGGAGCACACAGTGGTCGCAGGTTACATTCTCGGGGATGCGATAATTCACTTGAAAGACTCCAGAACTTGGAGGATAGTAATTCATGCCACCTTCTTCTAGTTCTACCGGGTATTGGTCGAAACATTCCTGCTCGTTGCTATTGGGGTCCGGGCATATCTTGAAGTACCAGTAACCTTTGTGGTAGGCTGTAATCTCGACGGTAGCGGTAAATACTTCGCCAGCCTCGTACTCCGCCACTATGATCCCCAAGCCATACTTCCCTCCTAGTTCGTGACTTCTTGGTACTGGTTCATCGTACGCGTCACCACATATGCCACATCTAGAATAAGCATAAATATTATATTAATTTAGTGATACTAAGATACCGCTCGGTCGTTGCTCGACCATAATTCATTGATAACTTCAAGTTCAATAGTAGAATGGAAATGTCATTATCTTGGGCATTTAGTGACACACACATGTCAAAATCATGGTGCAGTTTATAGTTTTTATCACGATGTAGTAAAAACCACACATTTTGAGATTATAATACGTCTAACAAATAAAGAGGTTGACATCAGAATAGAAATTCCAGTGTGAATGAAGCTATGGCATTAATTAAAAAAAAAACAACGAAAGATTCTGTATATTCTTGGATCTTTAAAACTTTGTGAATAATTTTTCTGTGATTTCAGGGAAAGTTCTTACTTCTTATATAATGCATACGTGATACATAATATAATTATATAGTTGTAGTGATTATTAATATGTCGTGTTAAATTAACCCACGTTTCGCGTAAGCATTTCATACTCTGGTAGAATCTTTATAGATATGGTGTATATAGTAAGTTCGGCAGTTCGGGAGTTGTACGTCTCCTGTATACAGGGTGACTGGTGAATTACTATCAATATTTAAGGAGCATACTCGGTACATGATTCTCATTCGAATTATGTAAAAAAAATAGGCACTTAATTTTTGACCAAATTTCCGTATACATAAATAAAGTGTGGATACGTTCCAAGTGTTCCTAGTGTGGACGCATGCGGCGGCGTGCTGATACAACAACACGCCGCCGCGCGCGAGTGTGTGTGTGTGTGTATACCTAATCTGTAGGGTGTTCATACGATGCGTAATTAATTACATAACTTTTGGTTAACTTTACTTGGAAGTTTATTAATATTTATGTTATATTAATTTTTATTTTGTCATATATGATCGTCATATATCACGTCCTCAAATATCGATAGTAATTCACCAGTCACCCTGTATATTTTACTATTTAAGAAATGAACAATTATAATATGTATGTACTGTGATTGGAATGCCTGATAAATAAGACTCTATTAATTCCTATAATTATTTCATTTTCGTATTTATTTCATGAAAAATATTGTTCTATTTCCAACACGTTAATTAAACGACTACTACAGTTGATAACTGATATATCAGAATAAAAATAACTCGCATGATGTCTTAAATTACGGTAGTGCAGTCACATGTGGTAAAATATATAAATACTGTATTAATACCGATTATCTATTACATATAATTATAAAACAAAGTCTTCTCCACTACTGTCAATTAATCTTAAAAATTTTCTAATTTGATTTAACAGAAAGCTACACCTGCTTGGAATGCAGGCATATCTGGGGTGGTTGGCAATTTAAGCAAATTTATGCTCATACAATTTGCTTAAATAAGGAGCTTTGTAAATTTCTATTCAGCGTACTCGTAATATTTCTTTAAAATTTAAAAAAAAGGATAGAGTTTTTGCTTTTATTTATTAAAATGACGATTATATATTTGTTTTTGGTGGAAATTGTGATAAAGATATCTATTCAAATTTATATTTAGTAAAATTATATATGTTTTTCCAATTGTATACGAAATTTTCCCTTTATAGAAACATAGTTGATGTTTTATAACTTAGGGATCAAAGTTGGAAAACAATAAGTTGCACACATCAGTATGACACTAAAACAATAATAATAATTAATCAGATTGATTTTTGAAACACATTGATTGACTTCTTCCCAATGTTATCTTTTTCATTTGAAATGACATATTCTAGACTTCAATACAGACGGTACCCGGGAAATATCACTTGTATAATTTGTTTAGAACCACGATTAGGTACAGTTAAAACCAATGAATATAAAAACACATACTTTCCCCCGTTGATGTCAAATTGATGGCCGTACCCGCCACAGTTGACGCCGGAATCGTCGTAGTTGGCGGGTGTTTTATACCCATAACGCCACATTGACGCTCTGGACGGTGGGTGCAAGACCCTGCCATGACCAGAAACGTATGCCACGAGAACAGTCAGCGCCAAGATTTGGAAGACCACCTGATTCAAGAATAATTATGTTAAAACTAGCTGCGACCCCCCCTGTTTCCTGGTGATTTCCGGGATGTAAAGTAGCCTATGTGTTATTCGTGGACGTCAGCTTTCTGTATACAAAATTTTATCAAAACCGGTTCAGCCGTTTGAGCGTGAAGAAGTAACAAACGTACACACACACTCACAAACTTTCGCAATTATAATATTAGTAGGATTTATGTTCATAGAAAAGAGACCGAGTTGAACAACAAATAGTTCTTGAAAGAGGAAATTACGACAATGATTAATACTGTTGGATTGGCTTATATGAAGACTAAAAATGGGGAAGAACATTATGATTTTAATAATTTTAAATTATATTACTAAACTAAGCATGTGAATTCTTGTGTTAAATGAAAAAATATATATAATTTCAATGATTTTTTCGTCGACTGCTCCCAGGAAGTGATGATTAAATGTATATATTTTAGTTACTTTGTTACTCATTCAATGAAAATTCATATTTACTAGAAGCAAAGATAACAAAATCAAAACATACCTTCATGGTGTTCTTTCAAAACAATTATTTTTGTCAATGTCTCAAAGGCAGAGAGTAACTGCTAACAAATCAGACTCTCACCATTTATATTAGGAATTTCAATTCGTTGTAAAACATTATCTATAGATATCAGTACACTCAGAATTATAAGTATAATAAAGGATTATTTAATTTGTATTATAATAGATAAAAGAATAAAGGGTTACGGTATTTGCCGCTTCTCTCAATAATGAAAGAAATGCTCGAAAGAAATTAAAAACTTTATTTTATGAAACAGATATCATATCTATATGGTGAAGTTTTCCGTTTTTTTTCTTCTATTTATAATTTATCGTTTTATTTTGTTATATTTATTTCTAACACTTCCAGTAAATTGATACGTCATCAAATGTTTGAGTGATATCAATAGCTTTATCACATCGAAATGTTTTGTTTGATTCATAACAAATGTATTTTGAACTAACGTTATATATTTAGAAATAATGAACCTTGATTTTTGAGACGCTTTTAAATTCATTAATTTGTATTTTTCAATTTAACCGTTTACAAAATTATCGTGAAAACCTTTTGTAGACGAATAGAAAGAAATTATGTAAAAGTAATTATTTTAGATTCTAGTACTTTGAAATAAATCTTATACCTATTAGTTTTTCTCATGTATAGTGCTCTAAGAATTGTCAGTAACATTTTTTATTAACAATATATATGTAATGAAAGGAGTATTCTATTTTATCGAGCCTGAAAAACTTGTAGTTAGAAAAGCGACTAGGCTTTATAATTAGTAATAAGTTTTTACTAGCGTTAACATGAATGAGTTAAGTTCTACATTATTCTCATACCAGCCTCGAAAGTAAAATTATTTCTATTGAAAATAAAATAAATAAATAGTACATAATTTATTTGTATGCGCATTGAGATCTAAGACTTTCGCGAGTATTCATTTAAATTAAACTAATATTATTAGGATTACCACGCCTACCTATTGTATTATTTTAAAACTATCTACTCGACGTTTCGGTTACTTTTCAGCAACCATGATCACATCTTGTCTGCCCGTGAAACGGTTTCTGTCTCTCATTCAATTACCTACGTTAATACAGTAACGTGCGAAGATTTATGAATGAAGAATAGGTAATGATTCGTATGTAGTGACGATGCTACCAATGGTAAGCACACTGCCCTTTTCAACGTCATAAGATTTGTTTTTTTAGGAAATTTTCTTTGATTGAAATTATTTTACACTAGCCTTCCGCCCGCAGCTTCGCCCGCGTGGAGTTCGGTTATACCGCGTTTCCAAGAGAAACTTTCAAAAGTCTGGGATAAAAACGATCCTATGTTCTTTCTCAAGGTCAACTCTATGTCTGTACCAAATTTCATTAAAATTAGTTCAGTGGTTTAGGTTAAGTTAGAGTTACTTTCGCAATTATGTATAATATTAGTAGGGATTATAAAAGTACAAGTGTTCGTCAGATATTCTTGCATTTTGAATAATGATGAAAATTATCACTTTTGTTCGCACACTCATGGATAGTTTTATCAATCTCCAGTAAAAAAAGCCTTATTAATTAACAATTTATGAGTTCCAGAAAGAAAATCTAGAGATGCTTCATAAAGTATAGACGCACTATTTCATTTAAGCCAGTATAATGAAAATTACGTAGCTCATATTGTTATACTTCCTCTTCAATATATAAATTATAAATGGACGCGAATTAAATGAATTGTAGTGTTTAAAAAGTAACATTCAGTCAATTGTATATTGTTTTATATGTTCGTATGTACTTAAAAAACGGATCAACAATTTTTGACAGATTTCTTGGTTAAATTCGGTTTACTGGAAATCCATGTCAATTAAATCAAAATGGCGGGATTGTAATAATGTATTTCACCTCAACCTTATTACTTATATCATCTTCTATATATATAAAAATGGATTGCTGTTCCTTAGTCTCGCTAAAACTAGAGAACAGCTGAACGGATTTATCTTATCTTAGTCTTGAAATGTTCGTGGAGGTTCAGGGAAGGTATAAAAGCTGAAAAAAATTGATTCATTACTGGGAAAACCATAAAAACAGCCCTTTTCTATTTCCCATACAAACGTTTTTTTGACATTAGATTTGACAACTAACTAATATGTCAATCATTCTGTCGCACTTCAAAACACGGAGATTTATGGCTTACAGGTAAACTCCAAAAATATAAATAAAAAAACGTAACAGATATTTCTTGATTATAGGGCGATACGAAATTCGCCAGGTCTTCTAGTTTATATATAAAAATGAAAACCAAAAAAGTGTCAACAGAGGAAATTTAATTGAATAAAAGAAAATTATTTAACTATTATGATGTGAAATTCAATTAAAGAAAAGAAAATTAATAATATTAGAAGTCGGAGTCAGGATGCAAAAGGGGACAAACAGTTGTATTTACGTTTTATTTTTTAACTTTATATTTATTTGTTATTTCCGGTTTCAAGTTTATCGTTCATCTTTATTGGTGTTATTCCAGTTTATTGACGTTATGACGAGTTTATTTAGTTGAATGATATAAAGCTGGGTCTTGCTTAAATATGTTTATAATTTTTGATAGATCATTTTACAATTTGACCATTTGGCATCAGAGACTCTCCGATTTAAGTATTGTATTATTAAAATAGAACAATAAAGTATTCCATGTATTCACCGTACGTGTGTCGGGTCCATCGTTGTAGTGAGAGGAGCTTCAACAGTGACTGGGACTTGCGACCATGGGTCCTATCTTAGTGCGTTAAACGGTCACCTCAACCGTCCCAGCTCCTCTTTACCTAAAAAAATTTGAAATAAACCTACCAGGCCTACTTCCAAGAATTAGCACGCCCAAGTCTTTTAGTAGGTTGTAGAAAGATCTCTTACGTTCCAAAAGATGTGGTAATTTCTTTAGTCCTTCCGCTGAAAGTACGGTACTAGTTATAATATACTATAATTCTTACAATTATTTTTGACTAATTATAATTAATTATAAGACTGAACCATTGTAATTTTGTAATGGCAACATTAAAGTGTAATTTTATTTGAAAACTATATATATTGGTTTCAGCCATTTTGTAAAACATTACTGGAAGTAACGCTGAACATTGAACAACAAATCTGAAATTATATTTTAACAAGAGCTTTCTTGGATCCAAAGGTCGGAGAGAAGTCAAGCCCACGTTTTGCTCTAAACGAAGTGATAATGCCGAATTTTTATTCTGGCTTACGTCCTTACATCCTTTTTATTGAAGTCTTAGTTTTAATGCAAAGATATTAAAGGAAAACATAACATTAGTGACAAACTCTCTTCTCTATTTTGTATTTAACACGGTTTGAATAAAATTATTATTAAGGCAATATTATTGGTTACACTCACGACTTGGGTAGCCAGAAAAAGTGACAGCGAAAAATAATATGAGATTTAATTGTACTCCACTTATGAAATTTGTCTTTAAATTATTATTAGAAACAGATAAATCGAAACGATTATGGTGACTAGGAAGCCAATTTAATATGACTATGCACATCAAACCATTTTTTGTGAACCTCTAGTCACAAGAACAAATGAATTATCTATGGTCATCGTCAGGTTTTCGACATAATATAACGGAACCATAGTTAAAGTTTTTGACACCTAATCTAAGATTTTCACGAGTATACATACTTGTTCCAGGTTTTCTTTTACTTCATGATTTCCTTCTATGTATTTTCTATCTAGTCTTCTATGTATCTTCCATGTTTCGTATGGCTACCGCCGATTCAGTACGCTCCATAGTTCAAGGCCTGGCAAACCAAGTACTATAAAATCAAACGGTAAAACAGTAACGATTGCCAAAGGAATTTAATCATCCGTATAACGAATTGCTCTGAAAACCGAATTAAGATCTACAAAGACTCACCCAAAATAGAGTAAAAAAAATAACAGTTGTATTACAGAAAACAATCTTCATCTTCTTTGTAGAATCTTTATCCAAAGTTTAGAATAGTTTTCGTCGAATAAAACTCATTTTAAGAAACAACTCTTGTATTATCATTAGAAGTTCCTGGCCATAATTTTAGGTAAATAAGTTAATTAATAAAATCACAACTTAATGAATACTTAAAATTAACTTCAACGTCAATATATATTTTAATTTGTTTTATCCAAATTTTGAAACCAAACATTCACGAAACAATATTTCTACCAAAACAATGTCTAAAAGACGTCGGCAATTCACTTAATGTCTATGGCAGGTAAAACGTAATCAAAAATCATTTTAAAAAATAATTACATACGAACGAGTAACAGCAAAGGGACAAATTTGATAAAAAAAAATAACATTATACTCATATAAAGTAATATTAATAATATTGTGGGTAGCCAACGAACCAAGAGCCTCCTACGACGAGGATAGCCTATCTCATGTCAACTCCAGAGCAACAGTACAAGAGGGTAGTTCCCGATACTTTCAATAGTTGCTCATTATAATTTTCTCAAAGGAAAATATAATACTTAAATAGCTTCCCGAGCGACATTGGTTATTTATTTCGACTATTTACATCTAATTAAACTAACAATAGGGAGGAACGATTCAGATAATTAACTTTTACCTAACTATTATACATCACAGATCGAGATATAAAAATAAATAATTTCTAATACAACGTGCGACAGATGACGATTGGTTGTGTAATTCACAAGTTTTCCTTTCAGAACATAAATTTGTTATTCTCCATTCAGATACGGATCATAATTATTAATAGAGTTAATGAAATAACAACGAACAATTAAAGTAAACGAGTAATTACTAACTAAATAGATAAAAGAAGACAAGAGAAGAAAAAAAGCAACCCATACATCGAGCCTCAAAAGTCGGTACAAAAAGTTTGGCAGGCACTTACAAATTAAGTTGATAATCTTATGTATTACTAGTTCTGGTAACGTCACTGACATTTGATAAAAATCATTTCATGCGAATTGACTAGAGCTCTCGATTAACCTAACGAACAACTTTAGCTTTTTACAAGTTTAGATTTGTCGATTACATTTTAAAGAAATTGAAAATAAATAAATACTAACAAAACAAAGAGTATTACATAAAAAAATCAATAATAATCCAAAAAGAAACCGACGATCAGTTCCATTACAATATAATAGTGTAGATGAAACAAACTATTAATTTTAAACGGATCAGCATCACGTGTAACACTCTAATCGTTCCCGTCGTCACTCGTCTTATAATCTACAATGATTTCTCCTTTCTTTGAGTCAGCTTTGTGTTTCTCGTTGTCCTTCTCATTTCTCTTACTATTCAAATCTTTATTTTCTGTATTATCAATGGATTTGTTTCTTCCCCCGTCCTTATTATTCTGGAAAGCTTCATTTAAAATTTTCTCGAATTCCGACGACACCTTGTTGAGATTCTTTTTCATTGTAGCATCCGGATAGTTCTGAGATTAATACATTTTATTAATACAAGTTTGATAGTTGTTTTAAATGCGATTTAGGGTGCAGAAACTTACCTTAAGGTAAAGTCTTACATTGTTAAAAATGCGTCTAAAATCTTGAACAACCTGTTCGTATTCGGTGTAGGAAGAATTTTTAAGTTTTGTAGATATATCGTTAAGACACATAGGATACTTCACGACTTCATAAAATCTCGGAGCCTGGAAATTGAAAAAAATAATTAATTACTTATTTAGTCTGTTTGTTTGTCTCTTATCTAAATATAATTTTTTATTCCTTAATTTTATTTAAATTAGAAAGTGTAGAATTAAAATTTCCAATTAAAAATTCACATCACAGTATACGCAGGTTTATATTTTAGTCTATCTAAAAATATTGTCTATGGCACAGCATTTTTTTATCAGAGATAGTAAAAACCAACCTACCACTTTTATATCCATATCAAGCTGTATAAAATTAGCTTCGTTGAAATGAGATAATTGTGTTAATATATCTTCAAATCTCTTAACGATCGAGGCGGACAAGGGTTTCTTCTTTTTCGGGTGATACCACATCCCTGACACAGCAACTTTTGACTTGCCACTACATTTCTTTTGATTTTCATTCCTTATATAATGTCCCGTTTGGTCGTAATTGGGACAACGGTTACTTTTCTCGGATTCTTCCGATTTTACATCGATATTTTCAATTGGTTCCTGAACTGGTGATTGTCTTTGATCATTAGGTACATCAGCGGTAGCATCTGTTGTGTTTATGTTATCTAATGATTTGTTTTGAGAGCAATCTTCATTATTAAGGTTATTAAAGCTATTGTAAATTGTCTCTCGGGACCAGACATCATTTTTGTCTGAAGGTGAATTTCTAACATCACTGGAGTATTCTACATTGGCGCATAAACTCAATGCGTCGTAAAGACGAGCCGTATCGGATTTAACTCCTTCATATATGAAATCCATTAATTTGGGAGCGGACTGTTTCGCAGCTTCCCAAGCTCGATCTGACATCATAGAACTTAAAATATCCAAAGACTCAACTGAACGCATATCTAAACAATTGAGCGTCGGCCGAGAACAAACCTTTTGATCGTCATGGTAAGCTTCGTCTGCGCGTCTTGGCATCAAGCAGGGCCACGATTCTAAATTATATTTTGGTTGCGGTGCCAATGTTACTTGCGAAAATGGCACCTTCATCTTCATATTAGACATCTCCTCAACAGGATTTTCGTAAATTATATCCTGCGTCGAACTTTGCAAGAAAGGAGATGACGTTGGTTCCGAGGGTTTTATTGGCACTTTGTAACTGCCAGGTTTCATATATACTTTGGATATTTCATTAAACTCATCATTTTCAGGATCAATAAATTGCACGGGGCCAGAAATATTATTCGAGATCGTCATAACATTAGACGGTACTTGAATGTTATGAGTGTGATGAGTCAAAAATTCACTAGGTTCTTTTTGGACCATCTGACCCCACGCCGCAAAAAAATCAGCCTCTTCCTTGGTATCGCCACAGCTATTGTTCTTTGGTACGTAGCAGCTTCTTAGTTCAGTCGATGATGACATGCTCGGTATCAAACTTTTTTCAACGTGGCTCAAAGGAATCATTTTAGCCTTAAGTTCCATTTCTCTTCTTTGTAATATTTCAGAAGGTATACTACTTAAGATTGGCTGTTCAGGTGATTTGCCGAGTTCTGCATCCATTTTATGTTTTAATTGTGTATACAAGTCTTTTTGATCGGCCAGGCACATTCGTTCCAATGTACGAAAATCTGGCACATTCGTAATGGTCCAGGATTGCCGGGGTTTTGTTTCACGGAGGCATGGATCGCATTTGTATTGAGATTTCTGATAATTATCCATATCGACTTGATCATTGAGAGGATAAAAGTTCTGTTGATTTGGAGGGTGGACTATAGGAAATTTTTTGTATGTCACATTGGATCGAGATGGCCATGAATTGTCATTGTAGGTTTGTTGTCCCGCTGGGGTTTGACTTTGAGCCCACGGCGGCTGCATTACGTTGTACGCTTGTGGCGATGCGCTGACAGGTCGTGGGGTACTGACATGAGCCTTTGTGGTTTGGAATTTATTCTGGTTTTGGTGTCTAGGCGCGGCTGAATTCGTGGCGTAATAATTATGCGTAAAACTTTTTTGTTCCATTGTAAAGCCGTGATCGAGACATTTAAACGTTTTGTAAATATGAGTTAACATTTCTTTTGTAACAGCTTGCCATTGAACAAAACACTCTCTTATGTTTTGGCTGTAATATTTGTTTTCGATTCTAGAAAAAGTGTCATGTTTTTCACTTAACAATTCTTTCACACCCTTCCATCCATCGAGAATTCTAACAAAGGAAAATATGAAATTCTTTATCACCCAAGGAATCCCTTGGGAATGCAAATTGGCTACAGCACTATCTGGTTTCTGCACGTTGGATCTCGTCTTGGCACAAATCGAATGAATATTTTTAAAGCATGGTCTGTTATGGTGGGCGATTGCTATATTTTCCGCGTCAGTGCAAGCTTCTATAGCCAGTTGCACAATTTGATTAGGAATCTGATCGTGAATAATTATTTTATCCAAAGCCGTGAGCAATATATCTGAAGACCCTGAAGCCTTGTTTTTATCATCGTCTTTAATAGATCCTTTTTGATTTGGTTTTAAACTATTCCCTTCATTTCTAGTTTGAGAGTCAGATATATTACAAAGTTCCGAGACCATTTTTTCTCCTTCAGCAAAAAAATCTAAACTAGATGTAGAATCCGAAGCTAAGTTCCTATCTACATTTCTATGGCGATCCGTTTCTGTACTGTTATCTTTGAATCTTTCTTGGTAGCGAGGATCTGCGTTATATGCGTTCCTTTTGTCGTGACTTTTGACGATTTTCTTCTTCGCCCCCGTACCAATTGGTTCCTGGTGTGACATGGACCAAGTATTTTGCGTGCGCCGATCCGAATTAAGTCGTTCAGCCATCATTCCAGTACTGGAGTAGCTGGAGGATGTTGGATCAAATACTAGTCCAACCAGTGGTGAGTTTGGAGGTGAACTAAAAGTAGGGGCCAAGGGATTGGTATATCTGAAAATATTATATATATTTTAGACTACTTTGTCTTTTTTACTACTTGTTTTCTATCATTTTAAGTGTATGTACACGTTACCTAGAATTATGATACTGTTGACTCGTAGACGCTTCACAGTAACTCGTTATACCTCTACTATACGTCGTTACTTTCTGATCTGATAATTCTTTGTTTGGAACACCTTTAAAGAGTCAAGCTAATTAAAGAAAACATATGTTTATTATGATTTAATAGTCTCTCTGCTAATATTACCATAGCCCTTCTGTATCACAGGGTAGTGGTGTGGTATATGAAAGCCGTCCTGACAGTGGCCGTCCGTGGCATCGCGACTTTCTCCCTTATTTGCAATGCCGCTACCATACTCTTGCATTTGGCTTGCGGTCACCTGAAACATTATTTATCTTAATGATATATTAAAAAACTCCATAAAGATCCAAATTAATCCTCTAATATTATTGTTTATATAGTGTAATATTATATTTTTCATTAATTTTAATATATTCCTTCATAAGAGATGTCAATGTTGATTCTCGAAATGAATTCAAAACGCCTTTTAAATAGATCAAAGATAAGTGATCATTTTTTCTTGACTTGTCAAATGGGACCAATCTAGTTGGTAGCAATGAAAGTGACGTAATGAGCAATGTAATTACTAATTTCATTTGCAATTCGTATACAATAGGCACGAAAGAATGCCATGCTAAGACCACGATTCGTTTCAACTCTATACTACATATCTAATAAGGAATATTATAAGATTTCCTACTTGTGTTATATACTCAGTAAGGAGATTTTTTACCACTTACCGTTGATAATCTTGTCCCTGTTCTGATACTATAGGTTCTCTCAATATCAGAACATAGCTAGTGTAGTTACAACCATCTACTTATGTACTGTCAAAGTCCAAACTGAAAAATCTAAGTTTAAAATAAAGATAATACTTGTAGTAAAACTTGTAAGAGCACTTTTGTATATTTCTTATTTTCTAAGTTATTTTTTTTAATAAGCTGATGATCATGATGGTTTTCTGTGCCCGATGTTCAACGCACAATGTGTGACTTGCCAATAAATTGAAATCAACCATATGATTTAGTTCAATTGTTTCCTGACGTGAGTCTTGATTTTTCAGCATTTTTTTTTAATCCAAAGAGGTGTTATGTTTAAAGAGGTAGAAAATTTCAACAAAAAAGGCCCAAAAACTTCATTTAACTTTATTCAATTTATAAATTTCACAATAAAATCGGTTGAGGAAATAAAATAAAATTTTGCTAGTATTTAATATTATTGGTTTTGTGAAATAGGAGGCAAAATAGGAAGCCAATAAGATAATAGGAAGATTCAAATCTGCCGGAGTGGTTGCAAAGATTTTTTGTGCAAGAGCAGACTTCCTGACGCCCGCCATAACCAGATCTGTGGTAGCACATTCCCTGAAAATGTTAAAAAAATTGATAAAATAATAAAACAAATATATAACACAGCTTACTCAAATAAATCTGAAATCATGTTCGATAATAAATATTTATATGCGACTTAAAACTATTTAACGTTCAAATATCCATTTGTTCATCGTGAAAATATAATTAAAAAAAAAGAATATAATTTACACATTTCGTATAATGTATATTTTTTGATATTTATTTTATTTATTTATTTAACAAATTTATTTGTAAATAACGATATATGTGCTTATGTAATAAGAATTATCATTTTATAAAATGTATATATGTATGTATCCCAATTTTTATGTTTCTATAATTGTATATTGTTCATAAAAGATCAGGATCGCTAATTTAATTCTCAGTAAACATATTATTTTTAATTTCTCTATGTGAAATTAGTGCTCTTGTAAGCCATTCTTTATTTATTAAGTAACTATACTTTATATAAATAAAATTAGAAATATTTATATAATTCCCGTAATTCAAAAAACTACCAATACGTTCCCCTGATTAGATCTGTATTGCATTCATTTAAATGTATTAAAAAATTAAGTGCACAGGTAAAATAACATAATAGTAAAGACTGGTTACAATTTTTGGGAAAAACCATAGTCTTTAACATAAGAATTCAACTAAAGTAAATGTCCAGGGTTATTGGGTGGAATTTAAGAGAAGAAACCTCTCAACATTCAATGTATTCATTGTGCGTGTGTCGGGTCCATCGTTGTAGTGAGAGGAGCTTCAACAGTGACTGGGACTTGTGACCCAGGTGTAGGTTTAAGTGGTCCCTATCTAACACGTGTTAAACGCTCAACTCCACTGTCCAATCTCCTCTCTCTACTTCACGAAATTTGAAAATACTAGGGCTGCCTTCAAAGTACGTTCCAAGAATGAATTAATTTGAGTTCTGGACAGGCCCAAGTCTTTTAGTAGGTAGAAAGATTTCGCTGTTACCTCTTGCTCCCTTTTACCTCGTACATATCTACAACGTACCTATTTCGAGTGATAATAAAGTAGATATCAGGATGGTATAGATCATACTAACTTTATATTTAGTCTCATCCCAGCCACAGCTTCTAATGACCCTGCTCACTACCTGATGTCCGTTGATGTCGTGGTCCACATGTTGTACAATCTTCCTGCATAATGTGTGTGTAACTCCTCGGTCGTGGTCGCTGCAGTTTCGTTTCAAACTGTCTGGCAGTACAGCTTCCGAGCACATAGAATTAATCGCGCTGTTGCATTCATAGCAGAGTAATGCGGATCCTGGAAAAATAGGTATATACTTGTTTTTGGTATTTTTTATAATTCTATTAATTAGTGTCTTGAGTCAAGCCCCGTATACACAATAAGTTTAGATGTGGGTATGTCTTGTTGAAAATAGTTGCGTTGAAAACAATATAGAATAATATTTTGTATTACCCACTATAAAACATTATTATTTTATCAGTCATTAAAATATAGTTTAATTTGTATACCTATTATTATTTAAAGAAAAAAATATATATCATGTATAATATGTAAGTCATATTGTGAAAGATTATGTAAAAAAAATGTATCTGTCTAAAACGCTCGCAACTGAATTATAAGTAATATTTTTGTTTTGTTTTCTGATTAAGTGAAATGTAATTTCTTTTGAGAAATAAATGTCTTTAACCACATTTGGTCCTAAAAGATGAACAATAGTTTTATGTCTTCATTATCACCGTCAGAATGGTGGGTATATTAACAGCCCCATGCGGTCTTTCACGCAGTTGATAAATTCTGGAGACTATTTGAGGTCTTTTTGTTGCCATGTACCGATAACTTTTTTTTATGGAAACATTTGAAACATGCTTCGTCTAAAACTCTTTCTATTTTGTCATTACTACAAGGAAGCTGCTTTAGACAGATCACGTCTCACAATCAAAGTTATTTTTCCGCTCTCATTTCCTTAAGATATTAAATGTTATATTAATATTTAAATTTACGTGACTATACAATATATAAGCTATATATTGAATTGATATCACCGTGTTTGCAACTTCGTATGTTCTTAAAATGTATCCAGCTGATCAAAAACAATCATTTTAAGAAATAAAGGTTATACTCGTATACACAGGTGCAAACGTTTTATTGTTTTTAGATGTAATAATATGTAAATGCTAGTTCTTTGTGGGATATCGATTCCTGTGACCTAGTAATTGGTAGTATCAAGCACCTATATAAATGTCACGACAGGCTTACGTCAACAATTTACAGGCGTCTGGCGCTCCCACCGACACACCTGCTTTTACAATATAACCATTGATTAAACGTTAAATTTTTACTGTAATAATCATTATAACGTTTATAGTAACGAAATCGAAGTTATAATATTAAGAATGTATCTGAAGATTATGAGATGTATATTTAAAATTAATATTTTGATTTTTATATAATAAGTTACCCTAATATTACATACAATGATTAAAAGTCTTAAATGTTATACACGTGACTGTACCGATATACATGTATTTTTTGCAATTTACTTTATTTAGCGGTCGAAAATCTTAAATAATTTAAAGCCTAAGAAGTATTTAAAAAAACGACAAATTATATTAAATCTGATACTTTTATACATATATGCATGGATTTAAAATGGAATATTCTTAAAATACTAATAAATATTTTTTAATAAATAAAATCCGTACCGTATTTTAAGACCGCCAACAGTATAACAACTACGAGGGACCTCATGCTTGCACTTCCCTGATCAAGACTGGCTTAGATTCAGCTTACTCCAAGCTGTTCCAACGAATTGAATGACGCAACGGAAGTGTCTCGTTCAATCACGAAAGGAAGACTCCATTACGAAGATAATTGGATTCCATACAAATTTGGATGTTACATAACAACGAAATAAATAAAATGCATTTTCATCAAAAACATTTAATAAATATCGAAATTAAACAAACACAACAATACACGTTACTTATATGTTACATTAGTTTTGTAATACAAATCTTTGAGATAATATAAACCTCTACGTCTCCTTAATTAAGGCAGTGACTCCTCTTTAAATAGACTGCTTGTATTCAACAATTAACACGAAGTACTGACACATTGATACTAACATAAACATCGTCATGTGAATGCTAATTGGACCTGGTTCCAATAACTAACGGCCTAGATTCTGCTAATGCAATTAGAACTAATGTTTTTTTTTTCTATATTTTTGTACAATTCTACGATATCTTTGGTACCTAGCTAGATGCGGTCCTGGAATTAGCTAAGTGAGGTCTAGAACCTAAGTAACGCGAAGGTGATCAGCATGAGAGCTGTTCCAATAGCGGGCAGGTTGGCGGAGTTACAGCCGTCTTCCAGACACGAGCACACCTCCTGTCTACCTCCAAAGCCTGAGCGCTGGTAGCATTGTCCCTGTTGGGGCACATTCAGATAATAAGAACTAAGATTTTCGTGAGTCTTATTCTGTATGTACTACGTGACTTGATTTTTGATAAAAACTACATACTCCCAACGTTTTGGCTTCTTTACAGCAACCGTGATCACGGGCAGACGAGGTGTGAGGCACCTGTAGTTTTTATCAAAAATAAAATCGTGTAGTACATCCGAAAAATATTAGTATCATTTAAACACATTCAGATAAATTTAGACTAAAATATTACGTAACATATCTAAAAAATATTGTGAATCTATGTATATATCTCTAAAATATAAGAAAGTTGTGTTAGTTACACTATTTATAACTTAGAAATGGCTGTAGAGACATGGTTGAAAATTGGGGTTATATACTAATAGTTTAAAACCAGGAGATCGAGATAGGATAAGATGTTCGATTGAAATAGAAAATAAACTTAATAAACTCCTGTATCCGGTTATTTACGACCTCTAATGCGAAATAGAAATCGCTCGGTCTTCGCTCGGTCTAAACATATACATATACATATATGTATTACCAATTCCGAAATTAGTCTTTGATTTATAAAATTAGCATTTTTTCTACAGATTTTCCAGATGATATATGCAATAACTTTATTCTGTACAAACAAGACACCTATGAAATGGTAGCACGTGTGACATGTAAAGTCCAGGTCAAGTTTCCAGGTTTCCAGGAACTTTCCAGGTGTTATATAATCCTGAGTAAGTCCGGTCTTTGCCAGGACCGGCCAGTCGCTGGTGTGAACTGTCGCTGACAGATAAAGGATACACCAACATAGCGGCCGATGGCTTTCGCAGTGGTTTTAGTGAGTAGGGGCCTGTCCAGGTCGAGTCTCACACATTCCTTCCGGCCCCACCAAGGCCGGTTGGACGGCTCGTAAAAAGAGTTTCCCTGAGTTATAAAAAAAAGGTGTTATGTAATCCATACTTTGTAACTGCTGTCGTCCCAGCCGCAGCCTCTGATGATGCGGTTGTCTGGAGGCATCCCGTTGGACTCGAACTCCACAACCTGCGAGATCTTCCTGCACATAGTGTCCTTGGGTCCGCAGGGTAGTCGCATGGAGTCAGGCAGCTTGTCCATCAGACACCTGGAGTCGTTGTGACTGTTGCATTGATAACAGGTGATCGCTAAACCTGGAGGAAGATAAAGGATGGTGATTTGAATTGTATTTACTAACTTACAAGATGTATAATATAATTTAGAGTAATGTTTGAGTACTACCATATACTATTCAAAAAAAATCACATTAAATCAACTTGTAATAAAATCTAGGTATAAATCCCTACTAATATAATAAATGCGAAAATAACTCTGTCTGTCTGTCTGTTAAGCTTTCACGCCTAAACCACTAAACTGATTTGAATAAAATTTGGTACAGACATAGAGTCAACCTTGAGAAAGAACATAGGACAGTTTTTATCCCAGACTTTTGAAAGGATCTCTTGGAATCGCGATATAATCTAACTCCACGCGGGCGGAAAGCTAGTACTTTATATATTTGAGTATATTTATTTAATATTGTTATTATCTTATATTTTTTTATTTTATATAATATACTTATATCAACAGTACAACCGTTTCCTTGAAACTTTTATTTTTTCATAAGCATAAATCAGTTATTCCTATACCAAAGATACTTTAAATTTATTATATATACGTATTTATATTAATAACTTAAAAAGTATTATAAGAGCTATAGCTAAGGCTAGAAAAAATAAGATATTGAAAGGAATACTTTGAAAATAATACTCAAAACCGCTCAAAAAACTATAAACCAGGGTTCAGAGACCCCACATGTAATAAACTATATTGATTAAAATAGAATTGGCAGTAAGAATAATATTAGACTAGAATAGAGTTTATCATACAAGGTTCATGCATTAATCCAGTAACAAGTTAAATTTTTAACTAGAAAATATTCGGTCCGGTAGCATTTGAGACGTAATCGGATAATAAAATATAAAATAGAGTGTAATTAAAATTGTGTTGGTTGAAAACATATACATTTTAATATATTAAGTATTAAATGTACAATTTTTATGACAGTAAATATCATAATAGCAATGCCTCAAACTTATTGAAAGCCTAGTAAAAATATTTAAAGAATTTAAATAACTCTATAACACAATCCTCAACTGTCTTTACTTTTCTTCTTATATAAATAAGCTTTATAAATATTATTTGAGATCTTCAAATTACATAGAGATTCGGCTCTAATAAACTACAAAATATACATATATAGAATTCTACTACCACAGAATCTATTCTAACTCCGCTCTATTCTAGATATAATCTCCTAATATATGAACAAAATAATATACGATTATCTCTCCTATCTAGACTACAGAATATATCATTAAAAACTTTCATAGTTTCTTTTAAATGTAAAAACTACTGAATGTGATAAATGTACATTCATGTAACCTTGCTATTGAAGGACAAAAGCGTCATTAGTTTTAAGTTGAAATTGTAACTTCGGATTATCGTTCTATTTAATAAAACAAAATGGACTTATTGGGATGATGTTTTATAGAATTGCAATGATTTTATCATGAAACAAAACACTTTTAAAAGTATTCTTTATTCATATACTTTTAAATACTATTATATTTATATATATTAATACTATTACACATTTTGTGACCGTTTGTATCTTGTTATAAATGGATGCTCATTACTTTCGCATTTATGTTAATATAATTTTACGACTTCATTTTTGGCGTTTGACCAAAAAGTGGTATCGATAATCGCAAATAATCGATTTGTTTCAGCTACCACCATTTCAGATTAATAACGTAATTTCTCTAATAACGTAAAAAGTATTATGACGTAATATCTAGATTTTTACGTTACTTTAACATTAAATAGAGATTAGATAAATTCCTGTATTACATATTTTTAAGATACCTATAATCCTCAATAATACTTGATTTTTTTGGTAGTTTTCATACTGAAGTTTAATAATAATGAAACTTTGAAAATTTGTTCATTACTTATCCAAAACAATCATGAATGAATGAAAATTGTAGTATAAGCATGAAATCTGATATAAAATAACACGTCTATCAAAACTAGTGACGTCATTTCCAATGTACTATATTTTTAAATTACAAGGTCATCCAGACTAAATAAATCGCGAAGATTTTTAAAATTTGAAACTCAAATTTATTAAGTAGCTATTTCTGATATATCCGCGTGAACATTATTATGATTCAGGGTAAATATTAAGCAATTTTAAATTATTACACATTTGACGTTAGTAAAATTAAAGTCATAATTAGATAAATCACAAACCTTGTTGGAGCAAACTACATAAAACCGCTAAAAAGCAAATTGTAACGCGCGCCATCTTTTTCCCGCCGACACCGGTTTCGTCCGCTATAGTCCGCGCTCGTTTCTGATCTCAATACGACTGAATGGTGACTAGGTGGGGTGTTTAGATCCTATAACAAATCAACAGTGCTTATCCAATTGCTGTAATACGGACAAATTGAAGGATATATAGAGCACGAGAGTATTGGTTTCTGAATGAAGGGCCATATTACCTTTAGTACTAACCACTAATGTCATCATTGATTTAGTTCTACTTTTAACTATGAAGTTATTGTTTAGAAATATTCCAATTACTATTTTGATTGAAAATACTATTTTTTGAAATATACTACGCGTATTTTATTATGTTAAAACTACAAACTCTCGACGTTTAAGTTACTTTTCAGCAACAATAATCACGGGCACTATTTTAATTGTTGGTTATTTATTTTAATTCCGTAAAAAATTCATAACTATTCACTTAAACACCTTATTTAATTTATGAAATTATCTCAGTAAAACCAGTATTTTCTCTATTTAAGCACATAAGTTAATGCTAAGATGTTCCTACCTAAATTAATCCAAAAAAGGAATACTCTTTTATACGTAGGTACGTCAACCTTACATTACCTTATACTCGCACCTTAATTTCATGACATAAAATAAAATAACATATAATAATGGTTTAGTTTTTATTAATTTGAAAGACATTGTAATAACCAAGTTTATACTAACATATTCTAGAGATATATAACATACTTCAACAAATTATGGTGACCAAACGATCGATATGGTGATCCATTTTTGGTGAAAACGCTAGTGCCTGGTGGCTGATGGTACGGCATTTATGTTACCTATAAAACTTGTCTACCATAAAATTACATATTGTAACTCTATACTATCTAGTCAATAAGGTATCTTTATAAATTTAATCTTCTTCTTCTTCCTAGCAATTTCCCAGCTTTAGCCAGGGTCTTACATGTTGTGAATAGTTTTAACTAATTGTTTTTACGACCGCCGCCTGCCTGACATCAACCCTCTTTGGGAATGCATTAATCAGTGATGTTTAAATACTCTTAGAAAGTAGATGTGACTCTGAAAAATCACATTGGTACTTGCCCGGGCCAGGATCGAACTCGCGCTCTCATGTATGAGAGGCGGGCCTTTTAACCACTAGGCCACCACTGACTTCATCTTTATAAATTTAATATTTATAGTAAGTTGTCTATAAAGTATCAGTACGTTTCGCAAGGACATTGTTTTGTAAAACATTATATAAGCAAATAAAGTGGGCTCTAATTAAACTCATGTATTTCAGGTGACACTTAGTATTTTAAGAATACGTAGATTACTCCAAAATATTTATATATTTTGTATTGCTTATAAAATGTAGCTTATTGTTTTCAATGTATCTATTTCTTAGGTAGATCGCCTAACTGATTCTCTCTCTCAAGAATCATCGTACTTGTTTGCTGATTTTCGTATAAAAAAAGTCATGACCCCTTTAAAATTCAAAGTTCCGTTTTCTTTATGGGTAAATAACTTAGTCTTTTCCTCGTCTACATGTAAGGTAAACATAACAAAGACACATTGTGTAATGTTCCTAGCCTCCTCTAAACCGTTAATTCTCCTTAAACTAATATCATTACATCAGACAAAGCAAGTAGCTGTATCCTGCGCCCGCGCACGGTTCGTCTAACAAGCTATACGAGGAGCAACACTAGTCATAACTACCGGATTCTCTCGGGTATTATAAATATAAAATAACCTAAGCTGTTTATATTTGTTTGGTATAAATTTCTGTTAGTTTTGACTAATATAATTGCTCCAACTGCCAATGGAAAACGAACAATTTATAATAAATAAATATGTTTATAATATATATAATAGTTTGTTGGTATACTATACACATAAAATATGTAAGAAATATAATACATTTTGTATATCGATAAAATCTGATAATTTAATGTTAAAATGAGTTTTTTAACAAACAGACTTATATTTAAATGGAAAATAAAACAGGCAAGAACTTTTTATTTCGTTAAAAATTATACCGTTTAGGAATTCAATAATAATTATATTTATTAAAAATAGTTTTTATAACATTTTAATATTATTTTTTACTATTTTAATCGTCTGACGGCTTCGTCGGAATGAGGTGAGTGGAAATATAGTGTGGAAGCAATTTGGTTCATCGTTTGATGGACTGATGGTTGACATCCGTGAGACAGGTCCCCGCGCTGTCAAGGACAGGCGAGTGTCACTCATACGTTAAAGAGAATCATAGAATTAATCCCTACTAATATTATAAATGCGAAAGTAACTCTGTCTGTCTGTCTGTTACGCTTTCACGCTTAAACCACTCAACTGATTTTAATGAAATTTGCTACAGAGATGGAGTTGACCTTGAGAAAGAACATAGGATAGTTTTTTATCCCAGACTTTAGAAAGGTTCTCTTGGAAACGCGATATAACCGAACTCCACGCGGACGAAGCTGCGGGCGGAAAGCTAGTTAACATATAACTTCGTAATCAATGTTAAACAACTGTCTTTTCCACATAAGATATACATAATTGCAAACTTTAGTTTTTCAAACAATTGTAAATCTTGTAAATTTCATATACATAAGTGAACTATACAGGGTGACTGGTGAATTACTATCGATATTTGAGGACGTGATATTTGACGATCATATATGACAAAATAAAAATTAATATAACATAAATATTAATAAACTTCTAAGTAAAGTTAACCAAAAGTTATGTAATTAATTACGCATCGTGTGAACACCCTACAGATTAGGTATACACTCACACTCACACATACGCGTGTGGCGGCGTAGTGTTGTATCAGCACGCCGCCGCACGCGTCCACACTTGAACACTTGGAACGTGTCAACACTTTACTTATTTATACGGAAATTTTGTCAAAAATTAAGTGCCTATTTTTTTTACATAATTCGAATGAGAATCATGTACCGAGTGTTCTCCTTAAATATTGATAGTAATTCACCAGTCACCCTGTATAAGTGTAAATATGTTAGGTGTTTTTTTTTTAATTTTAAGTAACAAAATATAAATATACTTGAGTAAAAATATGAAATAACTAAATTTTAGGAACATTTACACGCTGAACTAAACAAAATATTTATAGACATATTTTTACATAGTTAAAGGAAATTTCCTTAAGAATCCTTAAATCAACAAATTCTACCACCTTATAATATATATTTAAGTACCTAGTAAATAAAATATAACTATTATAATTGCTCTAGCGTAACTCTACAACAAACTTATTTTTATGTAAAATTGACATTAATTTAAAGCAAATATTAATGTATGATGCTTGCTATAATATTAAGCAATGTGAGATGAAGTAGCTCTCCTCCGTAGGATTTACTACCAATCCTAGGACCACCCCACACAGGTACCCCGAGTAATGCAAAACAATCAATATACACTTATTTGAGCAGTGGTTATATAAAACGAGCTTGCTATATAAACAAGATAGTTTTTTGATCACAGGAAATTTTCACGATGGCAAATCCTTTTGAGTTATTAACGAAATCGGGGGTATTGACTTCAAAGTATTTAACAAAAATGTCTATAAAAGTTTACTATAACCCCAAAGTGGGTTATGGCGTCTTCCATTCTATGGATCATCATTTCTATGGGTACTTATGGCGTCATACATTGCTTCTTACTTCTTAGTTATGTTATAAACTATTAAATCAACGAACCAGGAAGCGACAGTGTATATGTAAACTTTAAGGAAATAGGTCATTTTTCCCTTCCATAGACCATTTTTTCCTCCTGTATGTGGAGACAAGATAATCAAAATGAAACGATTCAAATTACGTAATGCTGCAAATATTACAGAAGTGTTTATAATAAATTACCATTTAATAAATAAATGAACTATTGATAAAACAAAATAAACTATTATGAAAATGTCGCTTTCCTCATAAAAAATATCTCACAGGTCTTCTGAATGTTAAAAAAAATCTAAAACAGCTTTTTAAACCAGCAAATACAGTCATTTCACCTACTTTAATACAAATTACTTGTTATGATAAAACTCAAGTGCCACCCATGTAAATTCATCTAGATGCTGGGTTAGATCAGATGCATAAAGGGACAAGCCTCAGGAAGGACTAAAAGAAATAGAATTGTTGAAACAAGAAACATCTCCACGGTATAACCTAATAGATTGGACGATTTTAAAAAGTCATGATCATAATTCTAAAAAAAAATGTAAATATCCATTATCTATGGTTTTAAGAACAAACTCTCTCCATTACCCAGCTCTCTCATCTGAATATCTTTGACTTGACAGAATAATATCGGTCTTGTCTACTGATAACTAGTTAATTTTAAGAATAAAACCATATACATGTCAATATTTTTGCATCGATGTATATAAATCTTGATTGACAGTTCCTTCACAATACTCAAGTGGGGTGTTTCCTGCTGTAATCTGTCCTTCCAGGTCAAATGTTTCTAGTCATAACCAGGAATCTTAATCTTAATAAGATAATAAGCTAGACCTAAGAATCTAAGCGATTCTCTCTGTATTAAAGCGAAATCGATGTATCGAGTCATTTAAATCCGAACATTATGATAAAATAAAATTATAAATCTACTTTTTAATTTTGATCTCAATACTGTTTTTTGTCACGAACACACAAATATTATAATGTTGTAAATAATCCATCCATCTGAAAATAAAATATTAAATCGCTGTTGGACTCAAATACAATACAATTTGAACAGGCGTTTTCATTTGACAAATTAAATACTTATACAGGGTGACTGGTGAATTACTATCAATATTTAAGGAAAATACTCGGTACAGGATTCTCATTCGAATTATGTAAAAAAAATAGGTACTTAATTTTTGACGCAATTTCCGTATAAATAAATAAAGTGTGGACACGTTCCAAGTGTTCCAAGTGTGGACGCGTGCTGCACACGATGCGTAATTAATTACATAAGTTTTGGTTAACTTTACTTAGAAGTTTATTAATATTTATGTTATATTAATTTTTATTTTGTCATATATGATCGTCAAATATCACGTCCTCAAGTATCGATAGTAATTCACCAGTCACCCTGTATACTCGTATCGCACAGTTTGACATAAAACAAGGTACGAAGTTGCCACTTCAATTAATAATATTGATTTCAAAGATACATATGTAGTTTTATTGATTTTTTTTGGATTTAAGACGATAAAGATTTTCCTTCCTAAAGGAAGGAAGGACATTTGAATTAATTTTTCCGCAGTTCATGTCTTTCTTAATGAGAAAACTTAATTCATCTCGTTTTAAATAAAAACCGAATATTTTATCTTGCGCGTCACGATAAAATGACTTGTTCTAAGACATAACAAATATACATTAACTATTTTCTAAATATGATTAACAATACATTATATTACTTTATACAGAAAGCGGTTCAGTTCTTATTTACCTAAATTTTATCTCACTCTCTATTACGCTGCGAACTATAAAATTCTGCTCTTCCTGCTTTAACAAAAACAATAGTTGGTTCAAAAATGTGTCGTAAGTTTTTATTAAGTGCTCATATCTAAGTAATATATCGGTATAGCTTCTTTCTCCTTAATTGAATATAATTAATAATTATGTATTTCTACGCACATACTGGTCAAATAACTACGAGAGCATAGCTCAGTCTATGAATCACCTCGTTTCATTAACGTTAGTTTGTACTTTACTTAATAAAACTGAATATATCTAGTTACCTAGGACTGTTGGCCAAGGACAAAACGTAGCAGCATTGATAACTACACTCCTGTCTATTCATACATTTTTTATTGAATATACAATTAAAAGTAATTAAAATTAAGTATTAGGAGTCTAATGTGTTTTGGTGCAAGAGAACTAAGCCATAATATTAGTTAATAACTATTAAATTTGAGTGTATTCTCAAGGCAAAAAACCATCGTGAAGTTTTTAAAATTATGAAATATAAAAAATAAATATTATTTATAATTTTTTTATTTTCTATACAGGCTCCTTGCAGTACGTAGAAACTTCAGAATTTCTGTTATAAAAATGTATTTTCTCATGTTCCTGATAGCAACATTTAATTAGAACATGTTCACAAAAATATAATTCATTGGCAAAATTTTATTAATCATACAAAAACAATAACAATTTAATGAAAACTCCAAAACGCCTGTACAATTTTAATAGCAGTATCTACTTTGCGAGTTGTATGTGAGATTTTCCAAGTACACCAAGGCCGTAATACAAAATGTTATCATTCAAAATAGCTTTATAGCTTGAGTTCTACATAAACATAAACAAGTTTTACTTTAATAAAATAATATAAAAAGTACATTATCATACAACAAGAATTTTCATTAAATAAAGCAGATAATTCAAGGAAATAATTTGTCTTTTTTACGTTATTCACAATAAAATTTAAATAAATACTATGAATAAGATATAATCTATGCAATAGATGATGTTTTTTACGTACTATTATTTACGTACTGTACATAATACAGCCTTTTATAATTAGTCAGAGCTAATTCAGAGTAAGCAGTGCGTGTAAACACTTATTCTATTAAGGGTCATACGAATTAATTACTTAATTAACACACCACGGAGCTGGTTCATGTTCACAGGGTTTATTGGTGAAACATTTAATTTGTAAAACACCTATTCTGATAAAAAATATATGAAGTAATGGCAACATTGACATCTGTTTAATTAAAATAATTTTCATTAATTAATATTAAGATCAAATTAACGTAAAAATAATATACTTATATCATATATGTGTAGTTTTAATATTTTTACTTATATATTAAGGATACTTATATTTTCAATTTACCGAATTTAATTATTTTTTAACCTATAAGAAGTATATTCATATTTTTCAGCAATATCTTCGAGATCATTCGTATTTCGTACATTTTAAATTTGTATCGTATATTACTTTTACTGAAACTGTGTATTTTCATTGTAGTTTTAGTATTTTTTAGTTATATTTTATAATCATTGTTATAAGCACTACTGGCTTACCGAAATCAATAATAAAAAAAATATTATTAATATAAAACGAGCGACCCAAATACTGTTTCTGTTGAATTTGATTCACGGAATCAGGATGTGCATTGTGGTGGAGTTCAGTGAATTACTACATTGAGTTGACCAGCATCAGTCGTAAGTTGACGGGGTTGGCTGACTGACATCATGAAGAACAAGGGAATCATAACTATTATATGTTTTTTTGTAACTATAAGAAACGGTGAGATGATTTAAATAAATTAAGATAGCCTCAAATCTTATTTATATATATTATTCTGTTTATTTAAGGTTTATCAATTCGTTGTTATGAATGTAACAGCGCGAATAACTCAATGTGTTTGGACCCTTCGTCATACGATAAGGAGAGCCTTCAGAAGTATCTACAAACTACGAATTGTGAGAGAAGCTCGCTCCTGACTCAGGATGTTGACAAAAAGAATCTGTTTTGCAGAAAGATTATACAGACAAGTAAATATAATTAATATGAATTTCAAATGAATATTCGTTACTAGCTTTCCGCCCGGGTTTCCAAGAGAACTTTTCAAAAGTCTGAGATAAAAACTATCCTATGTTCTTTCTCAAGGTCAACTCTATGTTTGAACCAAATTTCATTAAAATCAGTTCAGTGGTTTAGGCGTGAAAGCGTAACAAACAGACAGACAGAGTTACTTTCGCATTATAATATCAGTAGGGATTTAATATAAGCGGAGATCGTCAACAGCATTATCACTGTTTACATTACCTATAACCTGTTTATCGATTTATTTAATTTGCAAAATCGTTTCAATTAAAACAAAATGTATATCTATATTTTGCTAGCAAATGAAACTAAGTTTTTCGTATACTGACGTAGAAATTAAGTCATTTCGTTTGACGCGATCACGAATACTGAAACTTGAGGATTATTTTCTTATAGAATAAACGAATTATACGAAGAACTTAGTATAATTTAAATTAAATTTCTTCTTTCATATACTGTATACGAGTTATTCTGTTATTAATGCTTATTGTCAGTTCTATACAAGGGTCATGAACCCGAGGTCCGCGTCACGCGAGGCTGTGGTTGGGTCAAACATCGCAAGGATTGCTACAAAGCTGACAACGAAGATCATTTAGAGACTGTGTGTCAATGTTTCTCAGATGACTGCAATACTGGCACGGCTTTGACGTACAGTTTAGTAACTATATTAACTGCTTTGTATATTGGGAGAATTGTTTAGAATAGTAATAAAGTAAGAAATTGATTTTTTAATGATAATACTGAAACATATGTGGATTATAACAATCTGTGTTTAAAAATATTTGTATTGTATTTCGTATAACAGTTTGATTAAATTTACGTCCAAAAATATGTTATAAATAGTTTTTATGTGGTTTCCGAACGATATTATTGTACCTGTTATAAAATCAATCCGAATTAAGAATATTAAACTTTTTTAAGCTACGTTGTAAATTACTATTTAAAAACAAAATGGCGAATGTTTCTGTATACTATTTATTTTAGGAATATGTATTTAAGTGTTTATACATAAGTTCCACTAATAACGTCCAATAAAGTAATTTTTATCAATACATGTATTTTTTTTTAATAAAAATCGAAATCATTACTTTTTTATTATTTTATACTGTGTTGAAGATTTTATTAAATAAATTATTCTTTATTTGCTTTCCACCCATTGAAGAAATAAATTTATAATTTCAATTCTAATTTTCTATACTTTTAAAAGTTAATAATAAAAAGATCATGAACAAAGATAACATACAAAACTACTAACAGCGACAGACTTATATTCCCTATAAAGTTACTTTAATTAGTATTAAAGTAACTTTATAGAACCTATATATACCTAATATACCTAAAAACACCCACAAAATTAGATATTGTCGGTCCACATTATTTTGTTATATATACATACATATATGTATGTGTGTATACATTAAGTTATTGTTTTGTTTTGACTTCCGCAAACCACTATACACTAAACAATGTGTCAAACAACAAACCGGAAACTATTTTACATTATGTTTTGTTATGTACTCACTGCGTAACTAATTTAGACTACGATGAACAGGGTATTAAAAGAATGTTTCTATTATCAACATATTTGTCATATAAATGGATCAAAAAATATATTGTTGTTTTATAATCCTACTAATATTATAATGGCGAAAGTTTGTGAATGTGTGTGTATGTTTGTTACTTCTTCACGCTCAAACGGCTGAACCGATTTTGATAAATTTTGTAATTAGGAAGATGACGTCCAGGAATAACATATAGGCTACTTTACATCCCGGAAATCCTGAAAATACCGGTAATCCGCGGGTAACACCGCGGGGCGCAGCTAGTTATTAATATAAGAAATTTTTATCACTAGATTTCAGAACACTGCCATCTAGTGGCGAATATTAACAACGTGTATAGTTATTTGGAACCTTTAGAAATACAACTAGTTGTCACAGATGGCACTCTTGTTAAATTTTAAAAATATGTTTTGATATTTTTATTTAAAAAATTCATGCAAAAGTAATCGAGTCAGATGCTATTATTAAAGTTAAACATTTTATCTGAAACATATATCATTGTAATTTTAAAAATACCCTTCTAATTATGTAATAAGAACGACTATTTCGTTATATACAGCAAGTCAGGTTGGCCGAGTGGTCTAAGGCGCCAGATTTAAGCTCTGGTTCCCGAGAGGGAGCGTGGGTTCGAACCCCACACCTGACAATAAGTTGTCTTTTTTATGTAGAAAAAAGCATTTCAATTTTAATTATTTACATTTTTAAAACTGAAAAACACCGTAACTATGATCTATTTGGACGATATAGTAAAATATTTTATATAATCTAGATAGTTCTTGACTCTCATTCTATAGCCACAACCCACAACTGATGGTGAATATTCGTTTTCAGTCGAAGATTGTAAAGGGTAATCGCATTACTACAGTATTAAGACAATAACTCAATCACTTTAGCACAAAGACCTAAATTGTACAGTGTACCTAATTGGAAGAAAAACTATGAAGACAAACATAATGCTTCATTTTAATATTGATTTCAGACGTCAGTAATCAAGGCGCAATCAAAACTAATTCAGATCTTACATTTAGTGTTCATTTAACTACATATGATGACAAGTATATACTTTATAAATTATAATTTTACTTTATCTGTTTTCTGTATACCACCTACTTCTATTCATATTGTAGTGAATTAACGTAGGCCACTGAATGAGAAACGGAAAACCATTCGTATGTTGTATGAGGATACAAACTTCCGCTAAGCACACTCATGAGTCATGCAAAATGTAGGTACATTACTGTTAAGTGTGATGACAAATCCGGAAGAAATTTTATTTAGTATACAACATCCCTACAAGTAAAGATACTAAACGATCATTATATAAATACAATGTAATTTAATTAAAACCTATTTGGATATGTCATGAAAATAAATGTCAATGTCAAATAAACTGCCGCCATTTTGATCATATATCAAATCTCTTGTAAAGATTATATTATACAATATATTATATGAATATCTGCTGACTGCTAGTGACGTGCATAATACAACTGAAAACTGCGCAATTGTCATCAAATGAAAATAGGAAAATTCCTGCTTTGATATTACGATAACGCGACGCACAAGCGAAAATAAACTTTATTAATTTTAGTTAAAGTGTACATTTGCTTATTTATATTTATCAGAACACACATGTATATCATTAGTTTATTTAAGTTTTGTTTTGTAAACAGTTCCCGACCTTTAAATAAATATACTGTTGTTATAAACATCTCTGGATGTTCATCTCACTTTTATTTCCTTCATTATATAATAACAAATATATATTTAATTACATTTAACAATTTAAGATTAAAATCTTTTCATATGATTTATTATTAAAATTAAACCTATTAAGATGTATTTAAGCGTCATTTGGTGTAGTATAGGTTTTTGATATTCTTTTTTTTAATTACCATTTTTTCGTTATTACGCATTTCGACTCAAAAAAATTTAATTATTGAACGATAGAGATATGTGAAAGATTAAAGAAACTAAACGAAAACCTTATTTCAAGAAAAAAAATGGTTATAATTATTTTACCGTGAATAAAACAGATTTCTTTTATTATGGATAAAGGACATACATTTTTAGTTATATATCTCGGACGCAAATATATACCTGTCAGTATGTGTGTGCTATTCTCTTGATAAAAAGGCTTTAAAATATGTGATATATTTATTAGGCCTTTTTAAACTATTTATATAATTTTGAATCAATTTGTAAGCTATAAACACTCTCATTTAGCGTACATACTAAGTATATTAAACACTTCAGATGACTATAATACTTACTCACTAAATATGCAAATATTTTTATCAATATATTTAACATAAGTTTGAGTCGACTTTCGTTATAATCATAATTTCATAATAAAAGGAGATTATTTGTTTTAAAGTATCCAGAAAAAGTCAAGATAAGAAGACTATTTAAAAAGTTTAAACAAGCCTTATAAATGGTAGAAAAAAACAAAAATATTTACGATTATAATCATCTAAGCAACAGTCGGTGTTGAACTACTGTGTACAGCCATTATCAGATTAGATTGTGGCAACACCTGAATGAACTTCAACGAAATAGGACAATTTGCATATTGGATGTTTTTGAAACTATATGAATACTAGCTTTCCGCCCGCAGCTTCGCCCGCGTGGAGTTCGGTTATATCGCGTTTCTAAGAGAATCTTTCAAAAGTCTGGGATAAAAACTATCCTATGTTCTTTCTCAAGGTCAACTCAATTTTGTACCAAATTTCATTATATCAGTTCAGTGGTTCAGATTAGGTGTGAATGAACAGACAAACAGACAGAGTTACTTTTGCATTTATAATATTAGTAGGGATTAATAATGAGAATAAAAAACATTAAGAAAAATATTAATTCAAGAAAAATAATTAATTTCAGAAAAATCTTCTAAAAATATGATACGTATAGAATTAAAATTACAAGTACTATTAGAATTATTATATGTATTAATTCAAAAGTATAATTATTAAAAAAATACAATGAAAACTAACAAAATTCAATAATAACTGCTATCATTCAAAATTAATATTAATAGTATTCAATAACTGGTCGATTTTCTCACGTTATTCTGTGAATAGTTTATTCTGTGAATTAAAGTAAAGAACTCTCCAGAAGTTTCCATCCACCCGTATAATGGTCTCTATTGCAAGGATCTATTAATAAATTAATAATAGTCAATGAATTTCTAATATTCGTTATTGAAGAACTTATAAGACTTTTATTTTTATCTATTTTAAATGACCTACTAAAACGATTTTCTGAACTATGACCCATTTTTTTTACTTTATGCTATGGAATCTTCTTTTTCTTCCTTGTAATTTCCCAGCTTTAGCCAGGCTCTGCCTTACATGTTGTGAATAGTTTTGGCTACTTGTTTCCACGACCGGCCGCCTGCCTGACATCAACCCTCTTTGGGAATCATGCTATGGAATATTTTGCAAATATCAAGGTTTTTATTTATCTTAAAAATAATCTTATCACATTCAAATGTCATGCATTTCTTGATTTTGACATAAATTGATTGGTCGTAGAAGAAAAAAAATGTAGCACAAAACATATTACGTCAATTATCTTATTTTATGTTTGTATCCCTACTAATATTATAAATGCGAAAGTAACTCTGTCTGTCTGTCTGTCTGTCTGTCTGTCTGTCTGTCTGCTACGCTTTCACGCCTAAACCACTGAACTGATTTTAATGAAATTCGGTACAGAGATAGAGTTGACCTTGAGAAAGAACATAGGATAGTTTTTATCCCAGACTTTTGAAAGGTTCTCTTGGAAACGCGATATAACCGAACTCCACGCGGCGAAGCTGCGGGCGGAAAGCTAGTATATAATAATAAGATTTTTATAAAACATTTTTCTCGTATGGCATATAAATATATAAGATATATACATATATAAAAAACAGTTCGAATTAAGTAACACTAAAATTTAATTATATTCAAATTTACATTCAGTCCATTCATAAATTAAAAAAAAGAAACAACTATCGATGGTTTTTTAAAAGAAACATTATTTTCACAATAATTAATTCAAAATACGTTAATCACTTTAAAACGTTTTAAAAAACACTCAAATGTCATGTATCGTGTTTACATATTTTGTGTGTCGCCATTATCGCGTCGTGTTGTGGCGTCCTTGTAAACATGTGTTTTAGTAACGGTACTATTGTATTTAACTGTAAACAAACAGAATTAACCAGAAGTTTCTAGAAATCATAAACAGGTGGCATCCACGAGTATACAATAATATTTCAAATAATTGTATTAAGCTGTCATATTAATATATATTTATATGACCAAAATATAAAACCGTTATTTATTATAAGAATGGAAAACTTAGTACGCAAGGCATGTTTATAATTTAAAAAAATAGTATGACATTTGAAAGTACAGGTACAAAATTAATTGTTATTATTCCCTGTAACCGTCATTTTTAGTCATAAAAAACTACATAATCATAAAATTCATATTCAATATGTGTGAAAACATTAAATATGATAACTTATTATACATATAATCAGTAATAAAAACTATCATTTAGTCGATACATCAATGTAGTCGTTATCAAAACACGAGTTATTTTAAAACAATGCACAATATTTTAACCATTACATATTAAGAAAGATATATTTTTTAATACTTTTTTTTAGTTCGAATAAAACTGAAATTCATACGTAGATGTTATACAGTTTAAATATATGTATACAGGGTGACTGGTGAATTACTATCAATATTTAAGGAGAATACACGGTAGTCGGTACATGATTCTCATTCGAATTATGTAAAAATAATAGGCGCTTAATTTTTGACAAAATTTCCGTATAAATAAATAAAGTGTGGACACGTTCCAAGTGTTCCAAGTGTGGACGCTTGCGGCGGCGTGCTGATACAACACCACGCCGCCACACGCGTATGTGTGTGTGTGTGTGTGTATACCTAATCTGTAGGGTATTCACACGATGCGTAATTAATTACATAACTTTTGGTTAACTTTACTTAGAAGTTTATTAATATTTATGTTACATTAATTTTTATTTTGTCATATATGATCGTCAAATATCACGTTCTCAAGTATCGATAGTAATTCACCAGTCACCCTGTATACTTATTCTTAATTTAAAATTCTCATAATTTTTCCTTCAATCATTTAGCCTCAGTCGTGAAATGAGGTCGTGATAGAACCAATTGAGACTAATAAATCGTAAATTATTTACCAGTACCATCACGATGTTGTGATTCATTGCATAAATATTACTCAATAATGCACAATATTACGATGACGTCACTGTACACGGGAATTACACATCATACGTGAAAAATTCTAGGAATTAATTAATCTTTATGTAACACGAAGCCATTAGAGAGAATGAAAAAGACAGAGATGGAAGATAGTTCATCTCTGTCTTTCATTTATATTCTTATTTCAAAAGAAGCATCTTTTAAAGTTTTTATATGATTATGGCTGTTTTATTTTGTTTATTTACGCTTTCTATTCCTTAAATTATATGATTAATCTTTATTTACTATAATATAATGAAAATATACGTATGGCTTGGTTAATGAGGATATTCGATAGTAAAAGTGATATTTCTAGCCAAGCCTTATGGACGCTAAACACGCGGTAATTTGCCGCTGTGCCCTTCCTAGTATCGATCTGTGACCACTAGCTGAAAATAGAATATGTAGTCTGTATGAGAAATTTGCCTAAATATGTTCTTCCAAATAAATTTATTAGTAATTACGTAATTTCGATTTATAGACAATATTTAAGTCCTAAACGGAAACGTTTTATGATAATAATAATTTCTACATATTGATTTTTAGATCGTTACTGGACGTTTATTTCAGAACAAAATTTTATTTCTCTTGGCACGCTTATATTATCAAAATAACTGTATGACGTTGATATTTATGAATTATTTATAATGGAAACCCTTTTTCTTAAAGATACGAAAATTATATTCTGACGTATTTTGCAGGGTTTTTGATGTTTTAATATAACTCTAAATATGGATGAGTTATTTTTTTTCTCTAGTGAATCATTTTCAAAATTTTGCGTAGTCGTTTCAAAGATATAAATTATAATTAACTAGACAAAAAAAGGCATAGAAAATTTTGGAGATTGCTGCACACCATGGAACTAAAGAACTGTTGTATTAAAATAACAGTCACGTTTTAAGTCACATTTTTTATTATGTCAAATTAGCTACGGAACCAGCACAAACAATTTGAGTTATGAGAAATCACGTTTCATTGGTACAGACACATAGCAGCCATTCTGGGAACACGTGCGATGTTTGTTTACGGTTACAGGCTGTGTCTGTGTGAGTGAGTCGCACACACACAGACACACAACACGCGTCTGCTGTTGATGTCTCGACGCAGTAAGGGTGTGTTCATGTTGACTTTGAAGAGCGTATTTGTTTAAATGATATACACATTACACAATGTATATTTGGAAGACATTCTTGTACAATTTTTGTCATATTATATAAGTGTTAACAAGTCTTGTGTTGAAATGATTTATTATTACTTTAGATTTCGTTCTTTCTATAGTTGTTAAATCAAATTTCAATATTTATTTTATGTGTACCACAGTTACTATACTTTAATACTAAAAGATCGGACTGTAAGTCTCTACTAGATATGGTACAAAAAAAATTGTGAATATATTGAAAAATATAATTTCCATATTGGCCCATATTGGCAGTGATTATTTCAAATTTTAAAAATGAATTTATAAAAATCAATAAAATAAACTCGTCACTTTAAACGCATCCTAAATACGCGAAATTTCCACAAACACATTTGTAATCCAATAAATGAGACACATAGCACACATAGATAAGTATGAATGACGCAGTTCAGTGTCGAGGGTAAAAGGGGAGGGGGGCTGAAACCTTTATATAGTCCGCGTCAATACCGTACAAGCCAGTTTAACTCAAGAAGTAAGCAAATACAGTTACAATCAGAGTTTAAGTTGTCCGGCATCAGCCCTAACAATGGGTATGTTTATACATATTATATTAATCTTATTTATACACCAATTAACCTTGAGCCTTATCAATTATCGCATATAAACGTTGGCCACGTTTGTGTGTGATTTTTCTTAAAGATACTTTTTTGTTGATGAAACTAAACAAATTCGTTTGATCGGTTAACGTTAGAGATGGCTTTTTATTTAGTTTAGTCTTAATATGTTTATGTCGTGTAAGCGGAACTATAAATCGATATTTTTCTAGTTGATTTTTTGTTTAACTAACTCATCGTTACGTTACAAGAATCATTCATTTAATATGTGTTAGATATTCCTGAAGAGTTGTGATAATTTTATTATTATTATTTATTATGGTTTTGGTAAGGAATGTCCTTCAAAAATCAATATGGGCAACGATAGGTTACAGTTACACAAAATGGCTTCCAAATGCGTCATATTTGACCTACTGTTACAAATGAGTCATCTGTATTCGTTATACATGAAATTACAGTTATTTCCTTTTACCTATTTATTAAAGGAAATTATTGATGATCGTCATGATTCATGAACGAGGAAAACCTAATGTGAGCTTTATATTAAACTTGAAAAAGATTTAAATAATATTGGCTTGAGAATTAACATCTATTTTTAAACATAACGTCCATAGTTACCCGTTATTAATATAATCCAAATATAATTTTGTTAACGTCACAGCGTCTCTTTTGGCATGCATCCATTTCTAAATACGGTTATTTTTCATTCCAGATACATTAAACATAAAACCGTTAAGTCAGGATCTCGAGTGGTCTCAGGAAGCGCCAGTCGGCGTGGAGGCCGCTCGGGACATGGGCTCGGCTTGTGTTCCTAATGACATTGCGTCTTCATCCAGCGAAGAGAGGGCCATACGCCGCGTCACGGGCCGCTGGGGGGCCGAGTGGTTGAGCTGACTCGGCTCGGGCAAATATATACAAGGGCCCCAGTGGCCCCCCGAGCACCCCCTGCCGCCGCCGCGTTGGGGGTCCCAACGCCCCGCTTTGCACCTCTCCCTCCAGAATTACGAGGACCTGGTCGCCAAAGCCGAGGCGCTATTGAGCCGACTAGTAGTAGCTGAAAACTACGACTCCGTTAACAACTTCATCAGTCTCTACGACGCGTATATGTCAGCCCCTGATGATAGTCTCGCTGAATTCTTCCCCAAATACAACCCACCGATCCGTCCCAGGAAGAACACTTGTGTGGGTCTGGGTATGGAGGTGATGAAGCGTTTGAAGGTTCTTGAGAAGGATTTCCCCGGGATCTCGAAGTCTATGATGCTGGTGTCGTGTGATGAGAACATCCAAGACCTTGTTGATTATACCACATCCAGCCCGGGACCTCAAGGGTTCCTTATAGAAACTGAGAAGGATCACGTGATGGTGGCCATTCATGTGAGGATTGGTGGCCGAGCTGGGGTCTTCCTATCTGACCTGGGTTACCACATCTCTCGTGTCGTGACGGTCATGGCTGACAGATGCTACCCACATACAGGTAATAATACTCACATCATGGAATTATTAGTAATAGTATAGTTAATTAGTAGTATTAGAAGCCCACTGAAATAACTTTGAGTTATATAAAAACTATAATTAAAGTTAGTTTGATGCTGACTATCATCAAAATATGTTACATTCTCTTAGATTTGGTTAACTTCACACTTATATATTTGCTTAAAAAACCCTTACAAACAATTTCATCAATGTTTCATGAGGAATTTAGTAAGTCCAACCCTGAATAACCAATAATACTAATGTTTCCAGGTTGGTTCACTCAATCAGACGAGCCACATTGCCGCAAGGAGTACAACTATCAGATCAACACACTCAATTCACACTACATAGAGTGGCATGAACGTGAGACAAGGGGACAGAGTGTTAAAGAAAGACTATCACTCATATACTCTGGGAAGGCATATTTGAGTGCGGTAGCTGTTACCGAGAAGAGGAATCTTGTGTGGGATTTGAGGTATGTAGGAAATATTCATATATTGTAAGGAAACTTAGAATATTAATTTAATTAATTTATTTTATAGAATCACCAACAGAAATGACAATAGCATTACAAATATTATATAGTTAACAATAATTTTGATAATTGTATTGCATACAGCATGCACTAAATATTAAACATTAGTATTCACAAGATTGTTTTCTTTGGAACAATTATATAATTAAAAAGAATTTGAATTATTATTATATCAATTTAATATATATTATTCTTTGATGATAATCATATGTTAATTTTGTTTTCCAGGAGTCTCCTGGCTCGTAATCCCAAAGGTCACTTAACAGCGGGTATCTACTTCCCTTTGAAGATTAAGGAACAGCAGTTCACCATGTTCTTTGATAGTCACAGCGGCAAACAGAGGAAGAAACTCAACTTTGATACATTCTTAGAACGACAGAAGGTTATATATCATTCTTATTTACTAAAATAAACTCAAATTAATACATTTAAAATTTTTAATCATTATTTAAAGTTATAAAACAATTGATATTATAATTTGGATTACATTTGTATGGTAATTAATTCTTATAAACTTTAAATGATTTGCCTAATAATTACTAATAGTTTCCATTTTCTTTCATTTAAAGTTTTTGATCATTACTTAAAGCTATAAAACATTTGATATTATATTTTTTATGTTTATTAATTCTTATAAATTTTAAATTATTTTCATATTAAATACTAATAGTTTCCATTTACTTCCAGATCCCAGATGAAGTAGTTGATGAAGTAGAGCAATGTAATGATCAGCTGAGGTTGAAGGACGGGGAATTGTTGTGTATCCTGAAACGACTGGCTACCATCATGGCTGACGAGGAATACATGACAGAATTACTTGACATCAACAACAAGATTACAGAACTGTCAGCTGGGAATTAAACAAAACAACAGCATTACACGGAGTCATTAGATATTGTAGTTTAGAACCAAATAATCGGCTCAATTGGGAAATAAAATATTAAAAATATATATTTATTGTTTAATTTACATCTTTATTATATTAGTCAAATGAAATTTCATAATATCTGCTTAGAAAGTCATATGTGGTTACTAAATCATACATGTTTTATCTCAACAAAAATGATTGAATATAATTTCATAAGATAATACAGAGATCATTGCTGATAAATTCAGTGTTTTTTAACAATAATCCCTATTAATATTATAAATGCAAAAGTAACTGTCTGTCTGTTACGCTTTCACGCCTAAACCACTGAACTGATTTTAATGAAATTTGGTACTGAGATAGAGTTGACCTTGAGAAAGAACATAGGATAGTTTTTATCCCAGACTTTTGTAAGGTTCTCTTGGAAACGCGATGTAACCGAACTCCACGCGGGCGGAAAGCCAGTATAATATATTAGTTACAACACTTTTTACCAAAAACTAGAAACTTTCTGAATTCTCAAAATATTCATTAAATTAAGTACAAAGTAACAAAGAGCAGAGTATGTATAAGAAAATCTGTTTAAAAATATAATGTAGTGTATGTATATTGTGTGCCTTATCGTCATTTCAATTAATTTAATAATTTGTCTGTAGTTGGGTGGAGTTAGTCTTTGTTCTGATTGATTCATACTAGAACTATACAAAGCACTTTATTAAAAGTTATTTAATATCCGGTATTCCTTTGTCAGTAAACTTATTGATTTAAAATTTAAAACTGAATCACAATAATTGTTAGATATTTAATCTATCTTCATAAAAACAATGGTAAATGTTTATTCACGATGTGACTTAAATTAGCCATGATATTATATTTACCCTATAAAAAAATTTCGTTATCTGTACGGCAAAATGTCAAACTTAAAACTATTCAAGGGCAGTTTTACTGATTGTCATAATTATTCCTCAACGATAATTAATGTAACGTTGAAAGATTTTAAATGTCTTTAACAAGATTGACTACGAAAAATCTAACAACACTTTTAGATAATCTTCTTCTTCTACCTAGCAATTTCCCAGCTATAGCCAGGGTCTGCCTTACATGTTGTAAATAGTTTTGGCTAATTGTTTTTACGACCGTCCGCCTGCCTGACAGCAACCCTCTTTGGGAATGCATTAATCAGTGATGTCTAAATACTCTTAAAAACAACTTAACTTCTAAACACTTTTAGATAATATTTGAATATAATAATAAATTTAAAGATTCGTGTTGAGTATCACATCGCTGTTGCCTTGTTTTATGAAATTATAAAGTTATAAGATCTTTTAAGTAGTAAAAATTATAACCGTTTTATATTTTTTTTATTTAAGCAATACCTTCATTCACACCAAGTCTTTTGACAGTGGCACGTTTTTTTTTTAACGATTTAGAACAATCCATTTTTTTTAATACTGTGCTGAGAAAACACAGAAGTTTGTCTAATGAAACTACCGTGATTTTATATAAGGAATCAAATTTTATTTATACTAAAACTTAGAACAATATATTTACTACATAAATAATAGGTAGAGCATTAGATCAGAGATACATCTCGAAAAGGAAATAAGATATGAGATATGCCACCTCCATCCAAGTCAAAATCACACAATGAGTGACCCATTATGATATTATTCTAATTTTCGCCAAGTTAGGGAGCGTTCAAGTATTACGTAACGCAATTTTGGGGGGGGGGGGTCTCGTAAAACGTTACGATGCGTTACTGGGGCGGGAGGGGGTGTTTCTTACAAAACGTTACGTAGCATTGTTTCTAAAAAAAATATTAATAAAAACCCCCAAACTGGCAACTCTTTTCATATACATTACATTGTTGACCAGATTGTATTAGTCTGGTCGATATTTTTATTTGTTATTCCAAGTTTGCAAACCTCTTAATTGATATTTTACGGGGAATACCTAGATTGCATTGTAAGTCTTTTGATGAAATTGATCACTTGAGTGTTACGTAACGGTTTGAGAAGGGGGGGGGGGGGGCTACAGAAAAACGTTACTGTGCGTTACGACGGGGGAAGGGGGGTCAAAAATCTTCGAAAATTGCGTTACGTAATACTTGAACGCTCCCTTACCTGCAGGACTATTTTTTTTTTTATGTTAAAGGTGACAAATGAGCAGATGGCCCAATTGATGGAAGGTGGTTACCGTCGCCTATAGACATCCGCAACATCTTTGTTGCGGATGCGTTGCCAACCTTGTTTTTTAGGGATAGGGAGGAGTGGGAATAAGGAAATCGTAGAAAAGGGTTGGAATAGGGAAAGGGCAACCGGCTCTCTCACCCATCGGACGTAACGCAGCCAATAAAAGCTACTTCTGTGAGAGGATGAACTTACCACAGCTAGGCTTTACCACCAAAATAAACTAGCTATTAGCTTGGCCAATCCAACCCGAATGTTGGAGGTATTACAGAGTAACAACTTCTTCTTTCTTCTTCTGTTCTTGTTTAGAAAAAGCCAAGTATTATATAGAAATGATAATTATGATTGGCACACGGTAATTTCGTTTTTGGTAAATTGACAGAAAAACCGTTAGGTACTGCAACAATAAAAAAAACCTTCGATACTTATAAATATTATTTAGGTATTACGAAATTTAAAAAGAAACTTCTTATAATAGTTTTACTTTTGTGTATTTCACTATAGCAAGGATTCAGAAATGAAAGATATGTAGCAAAAATTTAAATTTGTGAATTTCTCACAAAATACGTTAAACTAACTTCAAACTTCAATGAAGGTATTAAATCTGTTCAGTACTTTTCAATGTCTTCCGAATCTTATGGCGAGAAGTAATCTTATACAAGTTGTAAGTCTTATCAATTTTAGATTTCGGCTGTTATTTTTATGCGCTTGTGGTTATTTGATTTTTTCTTGCAATTATTGGGAATGTTTTCATTCGTATAACCCACTCACTCACGGATTTTTTCTTTTTCTTGCCTTGAACTAAGAAATAACTTGAAATAAAATCTGTTTTAAAAATAAAATTTATAACTCATAAATCGATAAAACAATCGAAAGACAATAGTGAATAGATACAGATAAAAAAACATATAACGATTATTTTAGTTTACTTATCTACACGTGTTTATATCGTATTGTGTGATGTCAAAACATTTTTCCATTCATCCATTTACATTATTTATCTAATTCATATATAACATTTATTATATTAATTCAATATATTAGATATTTGTACAGCACTATTGTATCTGTACAATAATATTTTTATAATCTTATTAAATCTGATAATAAAAAGATAAAAGTAGATCTTAGCGAGATCAAATGCTTTTGGTTCTTCAAGTTTATTATTGCTTTAGTATGTAACCTCTTTTATAATACTGACGATAAAAAAAAAACATATTTTGTTTATAAAAAAAGTATAGTACTTAAATATAATGTACGTTTTATTGTAGGTATAGTTTTTTTTTTCTAATGGGTATATATATTTTTTTAATATTTTTTGTTGGTTGCTATAGTTGCAGCAATGGAAAGAGCTGGAGGAGGCCTTTGCCGTAAGGCACACCGAATTAAGAGATGTCATTTAGTAAAATTTATATCTATTTTCAACGATATTTTTGTAAATTGTAAAAATTCGGAAATAAAGGGCATTATTATTATTACCTAAATATAATGAGAGTAATAATAATGATGTTTATTTATTTTACTTTTTTATAACAACGTGACTGAAAAAGGTATTTTTTTTCTTTTTTCTACATTAAATTAAAATTTTGATATTACATTACATGAATATATCAAAATCTCTTTATTGTTGTTTCTACTTGAACACTTGAAAGAGCTTTGATTACTCATTTCCTACCATACAATGTGATAGAGCTTCGCAGTATATAAACAGTTGATTTTTAAACAATGGAAACGATATAGAAAAAAACTGTGATAGCTTTACACAGTGGTCCCTTAAGGTCGTAGAATTGACAAAATTTACTATGCGATTTATTATTCTATTAAGCTACATTCTCCCGATGTTTCGGTTACTTTGCAGCAACCGTGATCATGGGCAGAAGTTTTTTTTTTATCAATTCTCCCAAGTCTTTTTTCTCAATATATATTGTTATGATTTTACTTCAAATTCATCCTAATCATGTTTAATTGTCCTCATCTATGTATATTTTTAAAACCACATGTTAATGTCTTTAAAAGATATTGTAAGCTTGGATAATGGATTCATTCTATCGAGTGCATTAAGTAAGGAAATATTGTGATCAGTGGCGGCTGGTGGGTTATCGAACTGATGGTTCACTTTACTAAAATATTGACAAAAACAACAATTGACATAAAATATGTTTATTTTTTGTACATTAAATCAATGCGACGACATTTTTCTGTAGCGAAATGTTCTATCACCTTTTTATTAAAATCTGATTCCAGTTTCTGTCCAAATCGATTCTCCGCCAAAAATAATGCAAGGAAAACAAAAGAATGTATTAAGACGCTCACATCCACACAACCATTTCTTTCTATTATACATTTCACTTTTAAAACTTCGTATAAATGCTTTATTTTTCGATTTACACTCTTGTTTTAAATTTAAAAAGGGCCGTGGCGGCCCGGCCAATTTTATGTTCACTTTACTTTGAAAAATTTTGTTATTTTCTTTAATATAATCAATATTTATACTCATTTTCAACTAATAAAAAACACAGTACAGAATAAAAGTTCTATTATAGAAACGAAATAAAAACTAAAACGAATTACGGAAATAATTATAAACAATAACGAATTAACGCGTCACGCATACAGTGACAGTTGAAACAATACCAATAACGATTAACGAAATGTCAATCATAGCACCCATCCTTTCGGCCGGCCCCTTGCCGGCCGGCTCAATACGTCATACATCGGGTGCTCTCGGTGACCTTCGGCCGCTTCGTGCGGCGCGCGAGAACCGACTCGTTACTCGGTACATTTCTATGAACTATCTTTTGTCT